TCGAATCTCAAGATGTAAGAGAAGGGAACTTTGGCGGCCATCTTATTCATACGCCATCTTGAATTCGTAAACGGCAGCAGTCGAACCGTGTACACGGCGTCTTTTTCAAAGTATGATAAAACTCGTGCCAAAAGGTATGAAGATCGTGAAATACTGTCCCATATTGTTCTTAATGACCTGCAAATTGCAAGTAACACTGACAGTTGCCGTGTATAAACTTCAAACTGTATTTATTTCCCTTTTAAACGCGTAATCACTAGCAGTCCAAGATGGCCGCCACCCGTTGCGTCTTCTGCTTTACCCGAGTAGCGATCCCGAGTGGAAATTGAACTCTACTTTAAACCTGTGTAACCTAATAAAACCCACTGTTGGTCCTATTTCACTCTTTAAATCCTACTTTCAACCCTGTACGTCTTACTCAACACGAGAGACTCCAAGTAGAATAAAAATGTCGACTCGAGTGCCCTTTACGTCATCTCCAATTCCATTTAAGGCGACGTGAAATTGGCGTCACAGAGGGCTCGTTTATGAACCTTTTCGCTGGACTGGGTGTACCGAATCGTTCGGAACTTTACCCCGTGAATATGGAATCTATAAAGAAGGTTCCGACCCTCTTGAAGTTTCATTTCTTACACAAAACTTTAAAAATACCTATAAAGAAATTTTACAAAAAAAAGATTTAAATTTCATAAGTTTCAGGACCTCCCTCAAAGTTTCTATATTCACACTGTAAAGTCTATACCGATTCGGTAAACCGAATTCGAAGAAGAGTTTCATAAACCAAATCTCTTCGAGGTCACTTTTGTATCACCTTAAGGCCTACAATTAAGGGTATCAAGAAACTCGTAGTGTCGATTAAGTCGTATCGAAATTTTCACTCGGGGGTGCCCTCTACGTATATCTATCAGCTCCTCGGCGTCGCGCCGTTCTTTCCGTGGAAAGTAGCCCACGGGGTCGGGCACCTGCCGCGAGCCCCAAGAGGTCGCGCAATGCCCGGCTCTCGGTACTCTCGGGCCGAATCGAGGCACTGGGCTCGACACGCGCATCGGCAGGTGATCCTCGCCGTTTCGCGTCCCCCGCGGTTTCCTGGGCTCGGGTTACCCGGCGCCGCGTTACGATTTGCGTCCGCGAGAACGCATCTGGCCGACCGGCCAGGAATGGTCCAGGGGACGCAGGACACGCGTCGGACCACGTGTAGGGCCAATGCCGACTCGAATCACCAGCTGCCCCCTGCCAAGAGGGCCGCGTCCAGTCCGATCTAAAATTAGCGGACCCCTTCGTCTAGCCCCATGGTCGGTCCACCGTGGTCCAGGCATCCTCCTCTGCAGGGGTGCCGAAGGATTCGACTCCTGGAAATTTTCTAAATCCTGGGACATGTCGGAACTCGGCATCCTCGTTCTTCTGGGATAGAAGAAATCCGCGCGGGATAATTCACGGATTCATACCCTGCCATACCTCACCAAATTCATACCCCGAAGAAAAAGAATTCACCGATAGCAAGAAACATTTTGTTAATTCAAAGAATAATTATTAGACCCAAATAAACTGTAATAATTCCAAAGAAACGTTGCACCCAATTTAGTTCGAGCCTAATAATCATTCTTTGAACAGACAAAATATTTATTTCCTACTATTCAACAAAATATTTCTTAGGTTTAATGTCATTTTCTTCTCAGGGTGGGAGAAAATTTGTCTTGCTTTGAGAAATGCTAATTTAAAGAACACGAAGAAGTGGGTCTCGCGGGAAGTTTTTGGAGTGATTGCAATGAAGAGAGTATAATTTCACTGAGGTAACTCAAGTTATATTTATGGTTGTAATCGCCTTTACAAACGACAGCAAAGTGTATGTCACTTAAATAATCAAGTTGTGATAATATTTTTTTTTACCGGTGGTAGAAATTTATATTCCGATTTATCAAGCAGTCCTCCTATAAAGTTCGCTCTCTTACAGTGACATATACGGTTAATACAATTGCAGATAATTTTGCCGTTAGTGCAAGTATTCCTGCAGTAGAAGCAGAACTTTATCAGCAGACTGTCTTTTGCTAAGAGTGCAAGTATCTTTTCTTCCGAATGACGGCTTCTGACTAGACTTCTAAAGGGAAGTGAAACTTCTAAATTAAAGAAAATCATTATTAATTACACTTTCACGAAACGCCCTAACGCGCTCGGTACCAGTTATTTCGGTCATGAAAGTACAAGCAAAGAAAGAGAAACTTAAATAGTAACCAACAAGAAAAAAAAGACGTTTTTCACCATCTAATGTACTCCCCTTTTTTAACATGCGAACTTATGTGCTTCTCATCAAGAAGCATAGGGATAAGAGAAGAACGAATGATAAGTCTTAAGGTTCCAGCATAATCGATTAAATCATTCATTATCTAACCGTGTGTTAAAGTAAACGCAGAATTCGTTGTAACCGAGGATTAATTCATCAGCTGAAGTTAGGGGGACTGGAGTTTAGTAGTCGAAACTGCTGGCCCGCAAGAGAAAAAAGAAAAGGAAAACCAGAAGTTAGGATGTTAGCATCGATGTTGGTTTATTTGTCCCCGGTCTTCAGAGTCTTTGAACCAATAGGTAGGCAACGTCCCGGAGGATTTTAAAGATCGGGACGAAGAGGAGCAAGGGATGCACGGCGGATGTTTGAGCTGGCAGTGGTTCCTCCCGAGGCTCCTAGGAGAGTGGAATAGATAAGGAAGGGAGAAAGGCGGATGTGATGTTTAAAGGCCCGGCAAAAAGCTCGTGTAAATAGGCGACGGTGGTTAACGGATGCCGAAAATCCTTCAGGTTGGCCCAGATTCGAAGAGAACGTCGCGGGCCGTCTCTGGGACCTTTCCTGATAAACGTTTATTTTTTTGTATCTATCTTATCTGAGCAGTTATCAAGGGATTTGAATGAATAAATACTAGAAGGACGCAGGCTGTCACGTGAGGTTGGTATCTAGGGAAAGATGAATTTGTCAACCGTCAAGCCTTAATAATACTGGATTAAAAACAATCGGGTTAAACAAAATGCAAATTGGAATGCATCATTTTGGCATATTTTTCGGATCGAGATGTCTTCTAAGAACAGTTTTGAAATGGGTAAGCTTGTAGGGGGTTTATTAAAAAAATTAATAACACTGGATTTTACCCTCCTGAATTAAGAGGGACGCCTTTTACAATATTTCTTATATCTCTCCATTAAGTGCTTTAAATCCCACTGCAAACATTTCGTTACTAACAGACCAGTATTATAGTAAAAGTGGGATTAATAATTATTGGTTAATAAACATCGACGTTGCCTCCAATGGCGCCTTCATTTCCATATCCTGGCTACGCGGTGGGAAGTCGAAATCAAAGATTATGACTGAAGTTAGAAAGAATGGCATTAGAGTAAAAGTGAAATTAATAAGGAATGGTTAAGAAATATCGACGTTGTCCCTATCGGCTCTTTATATCTCGGCTATGCGGTGGGAAACCGAAATCGAAGATAAACCCGAAGGGCATCGACTTCGACATGTGGTTGTCCGCTGTTGAAGTCTCCTGCTGCGCGGGGGAGGCACCTCCCGTGATCCTCGACCACCATGTGCCACTCCGAAGGAGGTCATCTCGGTATTTCGAGTGAGACCACCTCTTCCAGGGGCCTCTCCTTTCCCGATGCTGGAAATACAGGGTCCTGCATAAAAACCGGGAGAGAAGGGAAAAAAAGGGAGAAATCAGAGTCCAGAGGACCAACGCGCGGCCTCTTCAGGGTGTTCATCAGGGCTCTAAATATGACGATCTCTCTCGCGACGACCGGCCTAGAAGTTCCCGTCTTCGTGGGAGAGAAAATCCCCGTTCCCCATTTTTTATAAATAAAGTACTCGACTTATGACCTCGTTAAAGTTAGGCCAGCCATGTTGGATTGTGACGAGGAAATCCCGGAAAATTCCCAGTGTTCTACCAAGCGAATATTCCACAATGAAGACCGCGATAAGAAATTAGGTATTTTTTTGTTTTAGATGTGTCAGCCGTTAGTTTATTCTTCCTAACATTATATCTCATCAGTTTCAGCTTGAGTTTTAAATTCTAGAGTTTTAAACAAAACAGCTCAAATTGCTCCCTTCCCATGAAAAGCTCAAATCAATTATTATTGCCAAACATAGAAGAGCATCCATTCCATTAAAATCCCAGGTAAAATCTTATTGCCAGATATCAACAGTAAATTTGTTTTCACGTATGTTACACTTCCTCAAACCGAAGACCAAATATTAATTCCGATATACTCTGTCTAATCTACCGACCACTAACCCCGAGATGCAAATTTAATTTCGAAGTTCTGACGAGATGTCCCATCATCGTTGGAAATTTCCCGGAATTTCCTCTTCTCTGACGCCATGAATCCAACATGGCCGACCTGGCTTTACCAGAGCCTTAACGCCCAGCGGTTGGGTGTCGTAATTCCCCGGTAATTGAAAACTTATTTAGGGAGCTCCAGGGCGCAATTGTCCCCGCGATCACCTGCTCCATTGTTCCCGTGGCCGGCTCTTCGTCATCCGGGGCTGGTTTCGCATCAAGGGGCACGTGCCGGGTAGTGCCAAGCGTCGGAAACCCGACACTCTTACTTTTACGACACTTTACGCGTCGGGCTTAAAAAAAGCCCGGAGAAAAAGTGTCACCAATACGAAGAAGCGAGGCCGTGTTGCCGTTCTCAAGCACGCACCCGGTCGCTTGTTGGAGCTCTTCATGGTGCGTCGACAGGTGGCCGGGTCGTCCCGTGGTCCGAAAATCCGGTAAATCCGCAAAAGCGTGATCAGCATTGCCACTGGAAATATGTCTAGGACCTCTTCTAGGTCTCCATCTCTTCCGGGCTCCGAGATGCCTGGTGTTAGGGGAATAAAAATTTCCGCCGCTTGTCGGCGAGTCTTCGATTTGCGAAAAGATGGCCACGGGCCAGGCTACCCCCAGGAGCATATTTATTTATTTTATTCGCCAGCCGCAGAGGAGAGCACGGTTGGAAGTGCTAAAAATACACCTCCCTCAGAAGAGGAGAGACTTGAACGTCATCGTCTTCATGTCCAGGATGTCGAAGAGCCACTTCGGCTGGAAGGCCATGCCCAGGCGGTGAACGAACTGGTTGCCCTCGAAGATGTAGGTCACCTGTTCGGGGAATCTCTCTGAACATGAATTTTACACGTTATTTATAATGAACCATGTAGACTGACTTTAACAGGGGCACGCTGGGAGTCGAAGATGGAGGTCTCGATGCAGAAGAAGACGCTGACAGTGACCTGGGGCTCCGGGTACGCCGCCGTAGGGACGCTCCACAAGACTTCGTATATGTAGACCGTAGTGGAGTCCTTGGAGTTCATCCTGCTGAACTCCACGAGGAAGAGCCACTCCTGCATGCCCTAGGATAGGAGTTCGATTAGAACCTGAAGATGAGCAATGCAGTGATCAGCACCGGGTACGTCTTCCACAGCTTCATCAGCGCCTCGATGCACTTCTTCCCCTTCTCCGGCTGCATCTCCTCGCAAGTTGGCCATCCGATGTGCCTTTCGAGACAGGGACAGCTCTCTTCAGCGTTTATAATGTTCAGAACCTCGCTGATTATACCACGGATGAAATTGCTGGCGAACTGGGCCGCGTTCAGGAACGCCACGCGGTCGTATCTGGGATGAAATTGAAGTAGCATCAAATTAAGGTGATGCGAAAGTGCCGTGAAAGAGTTCTCCTTCGTGAAACTTTTCTCCAAACTCGGTGTACCGACTCGAGTCTAACATTACGATATAAATATCGAGAGTACAAGGTCCTGAAACTCATGAAATTTACATTCTTTTTCTTTTTAATTTGTTCGTACTTTTAAAATTTCTTATAAAAAATGAAATTTCGCGAGGGTCGGGACCTTCCTTATAGCCTCCACGTTCTCGTTGTAAAGTTTGAAACGACTCGAAGAAAAGTATCATGAACGATTGATTCTTCGGATGCCACTTTCACATCCCCTTAATGACACTGGTGTTCAATATTCATTCTTTTACCTTCCCGAGGCGACCTCATCGGCGAGTCTCTGACTCATTTTTCGGCGTATTAAATAAATTCCCGGCGGTTTATTAAATACATTTATTAAGAATCCGCTAACCTGCGCTATTCAGTTCATCGCGCGATCCTCGTCATCGACGGAAACAAAATTCTTCGGAGCCCGATCGCAGTCGGCCGGAATTCGAATGTCCTACGAACGTAAAAATGTAGGGTACAGCCATCGATATGTCGAGTACCCCTTGGGGTACTCGTTACAGAGAGTGAGTTTTGAGTAAAACCCTGAAGAATCCAACAGGGTGCGTTTCGCCTCGGTGGAGTTCAACAATCGATGCCTAGAGCCTGATTGTGGGCGTCGGAAGCCGCCCGTGCCAAATCTACGTTTTTTCCTGGATTTCCTGGCATCCCGAGGACCAGATTCTCGCTTTCCTAGCTTTGTCATCCGTACGCGAGCGCAGCGCCATTTAATAGATATTAATGCGACCTCGAACTAAACTGACGTTACATTAGCAGTCGGTTTTCGAGTGACTCGTGTCCTGAGTCCTCGCGGCCTTCGTCGCCGCCTCGAGGCCGCTCACGGAGGCCAACACCTGGAAGAGACTTTCCATAAGTCTGCCGAATATCTCGGACGTCTCCGCGTCGCTCCTCGTCACGACGAATAGATCTGAAAATATGAATATTCGAGGATTATAGATAACTGCTACATATACAAAGATCGGCAAAAAAGTAATAACCGAAGCACCCATTAACGAATAAATATTACAAAAAAAAGATAGAGAAGACAACTCTATTAATATGAAATTGCCGCCTCTTAATGCTGATTAATCGAGTTATCAGATCTCTGTTCCTTATCATCGGGAAAATTAATTTTCTGCAGGGAGAGTGGAATGCTTCTCACCGGAACGATCTTGTCCAAGATGTTTACAGTACATGTTGACGGCGGTGGTGACGTCATCGTCATCGTGGAAAGGGTCACCAGGCCATTGAGCGCGATGTAGTCTGACGGCTTCCAAGGCAGAGGACCATCTTGCAGCCCTGAGGAATTCCGCCACCCTGGCGACCTCCTCGAGGGCACCAGCGCCAGGCAGAGGACTCGGGCTCGGGGTTGGAGTCGGAGTTTCTCGCTCGCTCTCGGTGCTCTCTTCTAGAGCCTTGCTCAGGGCGGACTTCATGTTCGCCACCTCTGCGGACATGTCCTGGAGAGTAGAATGGACGTTCCTAGCAGCGGCGTTCAGGACGCCCAGCATTTTGTTCAACGCCTCGATCAGCAATAATAACTGGAAATGCAGCTTGTAGAGAGCTCTTCCGAGGTCCAGGAACATCTCGTCCAGGCCCGGAAAGGACGAATGGGTATCGCCGAGAACTTGCAGCTTCATCGTCGCCTTGACGGCCTCTAGGCACTGATAGTATGTTCGGGTCATAGATTAGTAGATGTAGTGAAATAAGAATACCAATGGTACACTCATAAAAATGCCCATGTAAATTTACATACTCGATCACTGGTTAATTTGATGCCATAATAGATTACAATAAAATTACATTGGCTCTGTAGCATCTCCATTCGGCATTTAGATTAAAGAAAATGATGTGTGTTTATACACTTTCTAATGTATGATTCTTAGATTTTTTTTTTTATGTAAAACATCAGTTATGGCGTTTGTAAAAATGTATGTAAATTCCAATCGATTTTTATCGGTGTATGTCTAACTTCGTATACCTCGGAGGCGTGGTCCTTCTTGTCCAGGAATGTTTCCAGGTGTTCCTGGACCTCCAGCATGCCGAAGCGAAGGGACTCGTTCAACCTCTGGGCGGTGAAGACCGTCGTGGAGAACCAGACCAATGGAGGTTCGGCCTTCGAACTGAGGAGTTCTGCGTGACTAGACAAATGGGAACCCAATTGGATTGCCATGGGTCCTCCGGTGCTCAGCAAGCTCCCAGCCTCGCGGGTAAGCCCTATGGATTTTCCGCTGACGTCCTAACAGAAATGTTAAATGAACCCTTGCAATTCACCAGGGAGCTGGATCGAATCGCAATAACAATTCCGATTCAACTTTGTTCCGCTCAGATCCTTGTAATAAATCCTGAAGTACATCATTAATCTTCCTTAGCCCAAGACTTACTCTCAAGATCCGGCTCAACAAGTGGAAGAAGTCCAGCGTGTTATATGGCGACTGGGTGATGAGGCTCTGAATCTGCTGCCTCCAGATCTCTTCAGCATCGTCGCGAACGGCTTGTCTGAAAGGCATAAGCGCCGACAAATTTGGCGAGGCGTTGCAAGGTGTCACATCCCCGAGATCCCCGGCACTGGAACCGCTGAAAAAGGAAACGGGAATAAATAAACGTGGAAGAGGACGATCTCCTGAAGAATCCTGGAGACACGTACGAGGTATCGGATCGTGTAGAAGAGTCATGACGAGTTCGACTTGGAATGAGCGACAGAGATGACGGAGGGAAGATCCCAGGGATGCTGTTCGCATCTCGGCCCGCTGCAGCTCCTTCTGGAACCTCTTCGAGTGGCGATTCTGATCCAATTTCGTCGTCGGAGGATTCTTCGGCAACTCCTCGCTACGTAAAGGACATATAAACGATGATAAGCATTTAATTTAAAATCCCAAGTATTTCGTCGTACCCTGGTGGTGTGTTTGCTGGAGGACAGCGTCTTCTCGCTGAGGCTCTCCTCGAATTGTCTCAAACTCGGCTCCCGTTCTTCTCCTTCGCTCAAGGGTCGACGTCTTACTCCCCAGTTAAAGTTGTCGGTGCTCTCTCCCTGAAGAAGCCAACAGTGACCGAGATTAGTAAGCTAAACGGTGGATGGATTTATTCATAAGGAATGATCCGAATTACCTCGACGCTTTCGCTTTCGTACTCCAAGAAATCGAAGTCCTTGAAGACTCCGAACTGCTCCTCGTCTCTTCGAGATCCTCCGCTCAAGTCGTTGTTCGCTCCAGATACTTCCTCGGTCGAGGACGCCATCGAAGACTGCCTCTCCATTAAATCCGAACTCTGGCTGAATATCACCTATTGAAACATGTTTCAAACGAGATTAGTGCTAGAATTCCGCTCGGATGGTCCCGACTATTGGGAGTATAGTTCTTGCAACACTTTAGCGTCATCCACGCGATGTAACTCGATGTGAGATTTACAGCCTACTTGGTCGCTCGTGAATGAAACCGTGCAAAGTCCGGATACAGGGTAACCAGGAAAGGAGACAACGCGACAATCGACAGACAGTTCTACTGGAGAGATGTTCCCTCCTTATCGACAGGTTCAGGAGACTTTTCGGATGCAAATTAAGGTGAAGTGAAACCCCCGTCAAATCAGTCGATTCGATTAAGACACTTTTTTCCAAAGGTATTCAACCGAACCGTCTGAAACTTTGACACGTGACTCGTCAGTACCTGATAATTATCCTGACACTTTGAAGATTTAAATTTATGAAAAAAAAAAAAATTTAACTTAACCTAGTCAGCTCTCATATTTCGATCGATATCCAATTATTGAAGGCTCCGATATGAGAAACGAGTGTCAGAAGAATTGTACAACAATTTGGAACACTGTGGTAATCGAGAAACTCGCATCTGTCGATATAAATACAAACAGCGGTAACGTAGGTATTCAGAAGAATCTTCTTTACCTACGTCGGTCAAATTTCTCGACGTGTTTCACTTCACCTTAAGTCGAAGCGTGAGACACACGCGGTCCGATGTGCGACACGTGAAAGCGGATAGAGATTTCTCAGCTTTACTGCTGGGAGTGCGACTTTGCGTTTCTGTTAAATCGTTTACCTTGCTGTACAGTGTCATTGAACTAATGTGTTCGTCCTAGAAACGAGGAGAAAATTTTAAGTCGTGCGATCGAGATCCCGCTGATGAGATGGACGAGGCTCGATCGCGATACAGCACAAGAAACAAGGAACACGAGGCAAGATGAAGAAGCACAAAAGTGTACGTACAGATGGGCTCTTTGGTAGGCCAACCCTCTGGCCGCAGGTCGTCAGCAGATTCACCAGGCACTCGCGTACTCGACCCTGAAGAGCAGCAACGATATCAATGTTATGCCACTTTTAGGGCGCTACAATGGCGTACAATATTCTTCAACGCACCTGAGACATCCATGGCCTTTTCCACCCAGCGATAGCGTTGCTATCGGCCGGAGAAAGAGACAAGAAGCGTCTCGGAGAGCCGAGTTTCTCTTCAGCAACGGGACGGATCAGCCAACGTCTGCCAATTACCGGCGTGTGGGTGAGGTCGAAAGTGAAATCCATCGTCCTCCCTAAGTGGAAATGTCAAGAGAAAGGATCAGGTCTTTGCGATAGCTATTCTAATTACTATAAATATTGCGGAGTTAAGATTTAAACAATTGTCCGGGGATGGACGAAGCGAAGGACGCGTCAAGCTAGGAAAATATAAGTTTATTCCCATCAAGGTCTACACTCTAGTGTTATTATTCTTATCGCAACCTGCGTGGCGTTGAACGAATTCCCCATGCGACAAGTGCGTTCCGTGGTGCAGAATAAAACAAAAGCAGCTTCGTTAATCTTTTATCACAGACATGCGAGCAACGGAACGATAACGCGTTGAGTGCCCGTGATTTGACGGCGTTTGTTAAGGGGTCAGTCGGTTGTGAAATGCGTTTCAATAAAATTAGATTTATATGAGACTGAAAATGTGTAAAAATATTTCCCTTAGGAGACTATTTTCTTTGACGTTTTGAGAAAAAAAATTGTTTTTAAATGTTTTAAAATAGGCCTGTAGGCAGATATTCACATAAGTGAATGTTTGCTGTAAACTCAGTTTGATTAGAATGCATTTCACGACCTACCCCCTTAAGTTTCTTGGCACTCAAGGTATTGAGCATCTGCTAACGTACCAGGCAATTCCTTCTTAGTGAATATCTCGGTGTCGGTGAAGCTTGGATGTGGAGACGCCAAGGAGGAGTCCCACGAGGAACCATGAACCGATGTAGGCGGTGCCACGAGGGTGGAGGACCTGGTGACGACCAACTTCAGGATCTTCAGGGCTTCCTTCCAGTGAGCACCCTGGTAGTGACGAGTTATTAGCACTTAAGGATTAAACATTCAAATGATCCGGTATCCTTTACCTCGACGTATTTCGAAATGACCCTGAGCAGTTCAGTGTTGATAGGCTGGGCAGCCTGAGTGGCTAAATCCACATAATGCAGCATGCAGTGGATGATGCTGAGGACCGGCAACGCCACGCTCGTCGGGCCTTTCTCCAGGACTTCAACAAGGAAAGCTAACATGTTGAAGCTAAGATGGGCGTAAGTATCGTAGAGATACTTGACGACACACTTGGTCCATTGGAAGCTTTCTTTGCTGAAGGTGCGCCGACTGTACAGGGTCATCACGGTCCCCAGGTTCTCCAATTTCTTCCCCTTCTCTGCGCTCACCTAGAAGAATAAATTATCTCAATATCGAACGAAATTGACTCAATAAGCCCCAGCACAAGATAACTATCTACCTGAGCGATATTTTCCGCACTCCTGATGCAGAGTTCATTGGCGTCCTCGTAGTTCAGTAGCATATAAGGGAGCAGAGAAACGACGTTCATCGGGAACGCCAAACTCTGGGTGGGATCGACAACTGGGAGGTCTAAAAGAGGGGTAAACTGAGAGAGCAGGGTAACAACCGGCTCATAAGTATTGGGGCTGGTGCAGCCCTTGAGGAGCAAAGCGTGCACTCCTGGGAAGGAGTTCCAACGAAGCTGTTGCTGCAGTTTCTCCACTTTGTCCCTGGCATCCGGACGGTCCAGCGGTAATCTGTGAAGCACTCTTCCCAGCAACCTCAGAGCAAGCAGGAACTCGTGCTCGTAGTCGGACTCCAGCAGGGAAACGGATAACCAGAACAGCTGGGCCAGGATGGTCATCTTGTCGTCCTGGGTCGCAGAATCGCCCAACAGCTTCAGGGATTGAGCCGATCGCGATCTCGACAGGTTCGAGTTCGGGAACTTGTTGCCACCAGATCGGCTGTCTAGTTCTACGGCGAGGATAGAATATTTTAGGACTGATTAAGGTCTGATTTGGTAAGAAAGAAAGCGATCCAACATTGCCTGCGCGCTTTGATGAATTGCGCCCATATGTCGAAAGGACTCCGTATTCAAAGGGCAAATTACCTTTGTTATCGCTGGTTGTGCTCGAGCCAGCACCACTCGACTTCCGCATGCAGTAGCTGACCGAGTAGCTGGTGCTGCGAGTGTGTCCACCTTGATTCAGGTGTGAAAATAGGTGAGGACCAGCTGGATAGCCATTCCCGCCCTGGCTGCGTTTGCCTCCAACAACGAGGCCTGACACGGGGTCCTTGTTGTTTAAATTAGGGGTAGACTTGAAGATCTCCTTCATGAAGTCCAGAGGCCTGAAGTCGGACTCCAGCGAGTCGACGGCAGCTTCCAGAGTCAGCAACAGCTCCGTCACGTATCCCTACACGAGTAAAACGTCTCTTACACGTGATGCAAGGTGGTACCTCCGGGTCGATAATGGACAGATACCTGCATGTCCTCTCCCTGCTCGGCGACGGTCTCGACGAGTCTGGATAGGATGTCCGACAGCATCCTGGACGTGATGGGAACCCGAAGAGCCCTGAAGACTTGCAGAGATCTACCAGCGTAATGTCGTGAGGAACAAGAGAGCCCTAATTGCAGGGCGGTTTGCGCCCATCTTTGGCTAACTAAAGCATGAGGCAAGGAGTCCCTGAAGACCCGCAGGACATGTCGCAGGAGGATAGTCAACTGCTCGGCACTTCGCACCCACCAGACCTTGGCCGTCATGTCCTCGTAATTCCACAACGGTTGATTAGTCCTGCAAGTACCAAGACTTGTAGACTAAATCGCAAACTAAACACCTAGCAATGTAATCGCGTCTCCTCGATTACCGACCTAGAGGCCAGAAAGTTGATCAGAGATTTGATGACGTCCTGGATGGGCATGTTAGGTCCGGGTTGGGGGCCAATCCAGTTGGCTCCTTCTTCAGGGGTGACGATCACCGGAGGGATGGTCGGAACGGTTCCTCCAGAAGACGACCACCCGCCACACGAAGACTCTGCAAACCGAATCATCCCTTGACGTTCATTTTCATTACATTGCTCGCCATCATCGTATAATACATTTACACGAGCTACCTTCCGTCGGTTTTATAACTATTGGTGTTAAATGTCCTGTAAAATTATTTCTTGATCTTAATGGCCTTTAAACAAGATTAATTGACAATCTATGTAATGTCGCGCGTACATTTTGATTGAAAATCGGTATTTACTGGTACTCGGTTCCTGCGCAAAGAACAAAAGTTATGTATTAAAGTGCAGTTTTCAAAAATTGATTTATAGTCAAGTTTTTATAGTAAACACCCCTATGTGCGACGCTCAACGCCGATAGTTCATTAGTATTAATAAAATCGGTGTAAGGCAGGACTTGCAAATTAGTACATTGAGGGGAAAAGTGGTTCCTTGGTCTCTTACCATACTTGTGGCCGGTGGAATCCTTCAAGTTATCGGTCAAAGCTTGGGCGACCTGATTAATCGACGACGGAGGAGTGGACATGGAGGTTGGGGTAGGAGAATGGGTAGGTGTGGTGCCACTAGGAGACGACTGCGGGGGTGGAGGTGGCGGTGGAGGAGGAGGAGGTGGAGGAGGTGGTGGTGGAGGAGGTGGCGGAGGTGGAGGCGGCGGAGGAGGTGGCGGAGGAGGCGGTGGAGGCGGTGGTGGCGAAGGTGGCGGAGAACACGGCGGAGGAGGCGAGCTGGAGGGTGGTGGAGTCGCCGGAGGAGGAGCCGGTGGTGGCCCGTAAAGGTAACTATCGAACTCGGGGTCGATTTCGGTGAAATTGTGCTCCAAAATCGGGAGGGCCGGGGTCGACAATCCCAGCCCCAGCTGTTCGGTCTTTGATGCAAGGAGGACACGAGCCACGCCTAAGTGGTCCCGGTGGTCCCCCAACACCACGAGGAGGTTCAGAAGAAGACACCGACAGTGGTCTCTGACCAAAGGCCTAGAATGGTCCAGACCGAGGAAAACGATGTGCAGCATCAGAGGCACGTGGATTGCCCAGTCGAGCTGTATGCCGTCGACGATGACGTCCGTCAGCAACATGACGGCTATGTTGCACCTGTGGAAACCGCTGATGGGCTGCGAGCTATCCGGCAGGAACTCCGTCAAAGGCGCGAAATATCCACCGTATTCAGGCATTGGAAGAGGATGCGGCTGAGGGATGTCGAATTTCTCTCCGGTATTCGAGGCCTTCCCATTCGATGCCGAAGGAACGTTTCGCGGCCCGTAGCAAGACTCGTCAGTTGTAAGCTGGAAACCAAACGTCACTTGAAATTTCTTTTCGGTAAAGATGTAGAAGTGTCGAGACGAATATCTACCTCGGGCTCTGTTGTAGGCGTGGACAGGTCATCGGGAAGTACTGGAGGACCGCTGGCGGTTCTGGTTTTCTCGGCTCTCGGCGTTGGGAACCCTGCCAGCGTCCGAAGAGCGGTGTCGGACTTAGAGCATCTGAAGCATTGACAAATATTTTTATAATTCCCCATTATGTCGTTCTTAATATTAGGGTTGTAACGAAAGTACTTACACCGAAAGCAAAAAGCGAAAGCGAAAGTAGAAAAATCGTACCGCGAAAGCGAAAGTGCAAATGATGCGAAACTTTCCCATAGGGCGAAACCGAAAGAATAGGATAACCCACCCCGTCTTCACAGGATCCTCCCCAGAGTGTCTCTTCGTATGAATGGTGCCCTTCTCCACCGCCAAATCTCTAGGTGGGTTCCCCGGGTCCGCAGCAGGTGCGTCGCTGTGGGACGAGGCTTTCCTCATGCTCGTCAATCGGTAAAACGGGGGAGTCTCCGTCCTCTCGATTAGACAATTCAACGTCTCCACAGTCTGCAATTCCGTCATCATCTCGTCCACCAGACGATCCGGTCGGGCTCTCGCCAGGTACAGGACGACGCGCTTCGCCTAAAATTGCCTTATTCACAAATTCTTCTCGACCGACAAGAATCCAATCCACGGACAACACTCACATAGGGCAGAAGTTCCTGAGGAGCCATACCCGACACGATGATGAGGTATCGGATCATCACTTTGAGATTATTCGGCCAGCATCCGCAGAGTGTCGCCCAGAGCTCCTCCGTCTCCTTCGGGTGTTCATCGGAAAACTAGGGTGCATTGAAATCAATCATTACCTAAAAGTATCGCTTCACCCCATGTTATCCAGAAATTAATGATACGATAGTTTTATTATATTAGAGAAAAAAAAATGTATACCATTTATAGAGCAAAGATGATACAAGTTACTTTGCAATTAATTGAGGAATTAAATGTATTTGGATGTTTTTCTGCACGAAGATGCTTCTTGTGGATCATTCGTTATCAACACATCATCCTGTTTAGAAAATATGTATAAAGCTCACCTTTGCGGTGATGTAGAATAAATTGTTGAGGACCATTTCCGTCGCTTCTGCGCTTCCCCAGCCTTCTCTGCGTCCACCTCCGCGAGTTACATCACTGGCATAATACTGAAACATTGACAATGTTATGATTTAATCTGACGATTACGGTTGTCCTTAAGAGTAGGGCATCGGTCTTCCTGACTTTTCTTAGAGAATACCAAAACGTCAACGGGGGCGTAGCTCACATGGTAGAGCGCTCGCTTTGCATGCGAGAGGTACCGGGATCGATGCCCGGCGCCTCCAGTTTAATATTTTGCCTTTCTCTTTCAATAAGTAGATCAAGATACGTGGTCACGGTGATCCTTCTGGACATATAGATCACAAGGGGGCGTAGCTCAGATGGTAGAGCGCTCGCTTAGCATGCGAGAGGTACCGGGATCGATACCCGGCGCCTCCAAATTTCATTTTTTGACTCCGCAGGACGAAGCCTTGAAAAAAAAAAGGATATCCTACTTTTTTTTTTAAACGTCGGATTATATCGTATAACACTTAGTATTTAAATATTTAACTTAACGACCGGGGGAGCCGGAGAAGTTAATCAAGAAACGGTAGAGTTTCGTGCCAAATACTTGTAAAAGCGCTAAATATACATATTAGCGCGAAAATTATAAACCCGCGAAACCAAGGAATTTGTATATTAAATTCGGAAACATTTTAATATTTAACGTTTAAATTAATTGGAAATTTATAAATGAGTAGTTAATATCAGATGGTTAATATAAGCAAATTTCGGGTTACGTCAGTTTATCCCTTGCTTGAACAAAAAATTGGGTTACCTGGGTTAATTAATTAACTAGGTCCTCAGGACCGAAGTTTTTTTCGCGTTTCTTTAACTATCCTTCTTTCCTCAAACTTAGTAGATCACGGTGAAATTACTCCGGAACAATTTTAGTTCATTAATATGTATAGTTAACATCAGAGGGTGAATGTACACGTAATTACTATCAGAAGGTTAAGATTAGGAGAATTTCACGGTATATCATTTTTTTGTCTTGCCTTGAAAAAAAAATGGGTTACAGAGGATTAATCATTTAACCGACAATTTTTTGTTTGCGTCTCTTAAACGATAGTTTAATTCCTTTCTTCGGAATAAGTAGATCACGGAGAAAGTTCTCTGGAAGAGTTTTGGTGCTACAGATCACGGGGGGCGTAGCTCAGATGGTAGAGCGCTCGCTTAGCATGCGAGAGGTACCGGGATCGATGCCCGGCGCCTCCAAGAAAAATTTTTGCTCCTCCAAATTCCCGAAATTCCCGAGCGAAAGGTCGATCAGATTCTTTTCGAAAAGAGAAGTCACAAGGGGGCGTAGCTCAGACGGTAGAGCGCTCGCTTTGCATGCGAGAGGTACCGGGATCGATACCCGGCGCCTCCATCTTTTTTTTTCGATTTCCTCCGAAAGCTGTTCCGGCCGAGATAAGTTCCTTTTTGGAAATATGTCTCCCGCGGCGTGGCGCGCCTCGGGTGGCGGGCGTTTAATTCGATCCCCGGCTCCCTCTCATGAAGATTTTTTATACATTCAATTCCCGGGAACAGAGATTGCTCCAATTTGAGAGCACACGTTCTCGGCACTTTCGCTCGACGAATAAAATGGTTCACGGTGAACGTCCATGGCGATCTCTTCGGAAATACAGATCAAGGGGGGCGTAGCTCAGATGGTAGAGCGCTCGCTTAGCATGCGAGAGGTACCGGGATCGATACCCGGCGCCTCCAAGACGATTAATTTTTTTTATCGTCTGACAAAACCTCCACAGTGGCAGTTTACAATCCCGTTACTTTGTTACCTGATAATAACTCAAAGGGTTGGATGGTGGCGGTACGTTGGGGTCCACTAACTCCATATTATGCAGCCAGGGCAAGAGGTACTGCAAAAGTAGTTGGCGAACCTCGCGACGAGCGGTCTGGAATCTGTGCGTGATCTCTAAAAAAATAAATAATGGGTTATATAAACGTAATGCAGTGTATAAAATATAAACATGTAATACAAAAAGGTAATCTTAATATCCGGATGAATTGCGACCTCTTTCGACCGCATCAATGACTGTCTGAGCCGCATCCCTAAGCCGTCCATTTTCGCGGATATAAAGTTATCCACTTTTATACAAGTCAGTCATTTCTCACGGCATGTATCCGACGTTACGGCACGGGCGAAATAGTGCGCCATTATTTATGACTATCCTCGCCTCGTAGTTTACTGGTTTCATCCCTGGGAACGGGCATCCATCATCCGGGCGGCTCTCTTCAGGATCGAGTCTTAACATCATGGGCCAATAAGGAATGACTCGCACGTGTTCCCGAAGTCTCAAAGGAATACTTTAAGCATCTTCCCCCGGGAACTAGGACCAGGGCATCGAGTCCTGGATCCAGGGTGGGACAATGAGGAGTCGCCGGACGCTTTTCCGGAATAAGGATGGTAACTTCGTTACTCTCCCTATCTGTTTCTTATGGAAATTCTTTTTCAGTCTTGAAAAAACCCCGAGTGCCCGGGGACGTTCAGTTTTTCCCTGGAAATCGATTCAAGAAGAAGGATCCTTCGAGGCGCCGCCGAATCGATTTCTACTTGCCCAGTCTTCCTCCACCCTGCAGAAGTTCCTGAAGTTCGAATACATTATATATGAGGATTTCATCGCCAAAATTCCAAGAGTGATTTCATTTCCAAGTTTCCCAAAGCGGGATTTCAAGGCTCCCGGGATGGCCAGGAGAGATCGAACCGCCCTGGGACATTGTCCACGTAGAAGGGTCCCGGGTGTGGGGAATTCAGGTTCGACTCGTTATTTACTCCAGACTCTGCATCTTCCAACCCTTCAAGAGGATGTACCGGAGGAACCGCGGGAAGGGAATATAAATTGGTTTCCCGTTTTCCCATCCTCCCGCCTCGAGGTTCCATATACTGCGAGGACAGGATTTTTTGTGATCTTTTTGCCTTTTCCTCTCTCTCTCTTCCCCAGCTGAGAGCATAGGAGATTATATGCGTATACCGCAATGGATCCGGCCCTTTGACTTTTCCATGCATAAAAAGGCTTCACCCTCGGCGCACTGCAAACGCAATTCGACCGCAATCCCGTGACGAAATGTGCAGAAAGATTAAATCCGACCGCCCTACCTTGAATCATTTCATTAAGATCTGTCTCGATGCAAAATCGAGCAGGAGCTGTAAAAAAAGGGGAGACGCGAGCGCGAAGGAATTCCCTTCTGCTCACTTTGCCCTCATTATGCATCCCGGGAGAAACAGTATCCCGGATAAAAGCCGGGGAAATTAGAATGGGAGTGAAATTCCTCCGCGTTTGTACGAGCTGCGAATTTTTCCGGCTGTGTGAACCTGAAATTCAGTTTGAGGCACAAACAAAATTAACAACCTTATTAGAATGTTCCCCTGACGTAGACGTTTGCTCCACATAGAGTTTTGTTTGTGGCATATTTTTTCTTTTTATTTTACAAAAACCAGAGCTGTTCAAAAAGGTAAAGAAATTCCAAAATCGTGGAAGTGTTCTGTTAAGCGAAATAATTACGTGCTCGCTGTATGCATCCTACATGTGCAGCCCGACTTACCGCTGAACATCGGCATGGTGAGATCGGGATGAAGCTGAGCAAGTTGCCGAGACAAATACATCTGGTTCCTGCAATAAGTAGTGGAGAGAAGAGCATCCAGGGTGCCTCCTCTAGCAGGGACGCTGGAAAGAGGCCCCGAAGTAGCCGGCAAGTTGGTGTGCCCTGGTCCCCCGGCCGCAGAAGAGCCAGCCGCGATGTCGTCTTGTCCTGAAAATCAAAGAAAAAAGGGTGAAAATCCCACCCCGCTAAATAATTTCGGGTTTCCGTCAAAGGCGCAGAACGCGGCGAAGAAGCTCGCGAGCAAGTCTGCGCAGAAGCTGGGCGTCCGCGTGGTGGAAACGCGGAGCGGGTAGATGCACCTGCGAGGAGCGCGGCAGGTGCAGTTGTAGGCAACACGTGGGAGGTTGGAAGAGGTTCCCATATGCAGCCGAGAAGTAGACTCCGAAGAGTGGCTAGGGATTTTGGAGGACCTCTTCGGCAACCCTAGGCCCTATCGCAGATGTATTTCTGGAGAGCAGTTCCTTGTACGAGTCCCTCACCGGTGCAAGACCCAAAGCCATGCCGGAAGAGGTAACGACCGAGCTCGACTTCGTGGAAGTCCTGACCTACGGCATCCAGATGTACTACACCCCGGTGCTGGTGTGTCTCGGTTCCCTGGGGAACTGCTTCAGCGTGTGCGTGTTCCTGGGAGCGAAGATGCGGCGCTCGTCGTCCAGCGTTTACCTGGCAGCCTTGGCGATAAGCGACACCGGGTTCCTGGGGTCGCTCTTCGTGGTCTGGCTGAACCTGGTGGACGTGAGCCTGTTCAACCGCCAGGGTTTCTGCCAGCTCTTCGTGTACTCGACGACGCTCTGCAGCTTCCTCAGCGTCTGGTTCGTCGTGGCCTTCACCGTGGAGCGGTTCATCGCCGTGCAGTACCCTCTCCGTCGCCAGTCCATGTGCACGGTGACCAGGGCGAAGGTGGTCCTGGCGTGTCTTTCGATGCTAGGGCTCATCCTCTGCAGCCCTGTGCTCTGGTTCTCCAGCCCGCGTCCCCTAAACGAGAGACACAACGCGAGTCTCTGCAACTTGGCCCCGGAATGGGAGTCCTGGGCCAACATCTTCAACGTCTTGGACACGGTCTTCACCTTCATCCTCCCGTTCTTCATCATCGTGATCCTGAACAGTCTGATAGCGAGGTCAGTCTGGAGGCTCGCCGGGGTCCGCAGAACCATGACCAGGGAGACCAGCAGAAGAGACAGACAGTGCTTCCAAGCTCGAGGGTCTTCGACTTCCCAAGCCAAGGTCACCAAGATGCTGCTAGTCGTCTCCAGCGTGTTCCTCTGCTTCAATCTACCGGCCTACGTCATGCGAGTGCGAGCCTTCCTCGAGGTCCGTACCTTTTCACCAATTACTGGCTTCAACACGGGCTCGTTCGCGTCTGATCATTCCTCAATTAAAACCCCGTAACATATATATAATCCCTCCTTTTTGCAAGAACTTGAATCGATAGGTAGGGTGACAATAGAGAAAAACGAAAGGACGTCGGCCGCGGAGATGTCACACCCTCAATTAAAACTCGACAAGTTTGAATCGAGTTTTGTCATGGTGGAAAGGTTAATTGTGAATTAGTATAGACTCCAGGTAGAGGGTGCATTATGTATTCCGATTTCGTTTCAGGTCGACGAGGATCCTCCTCGGATCATGGTGGTCGCGCAACATGTCAGCAACATGCTCTTTCACACCAACTTTGGAATCAACTTCGCTCTCTATTGCGTCAGTGGGCAAAATTTCCGAAGGGCGGTGATTCGCGTGCTCTGTCCACGATCGGTGCGTCGAAACAGCACCAGAAATCAAATCGGTAAGTGGTCTTAAGCGGTAGAACCATCAAGGGGGAATTTACAGATAGAGATAATTGATAAACTTAAACTCCTCAGCGTCGGAATTCAGGGCGTCGAGGGGGCCCTTTGTTCGGCAGCGCACAGTCGTCCTGGAGGCTCCCTGGGAGGACCACTTACAAATGCAGCCTCTTTCTAACTAGCGAATCGCAAACTTTTAATAGAACGAATCGAGGAACGTAATTTAACATCCCAGGAAGGGTAGAATGTAATCAAGAGTCGGCTTGAAACTTGGGCGCTCAGCGTCTCCGCACTTTGCTACCACTACATCTCGAGGGTCTTCGATAAAGACGCGAGGCTTGAGAGAAAATTATCTGAGAAAAACAGCAGCCACGTACCCGTGTCCAATTCGGTGGCAGGAAGAGGCCCCACGTTCCCGAAGAACCGCTGGTCCAGGAGCTGGAGAAGCTGAAGAGCTGCGTCGTGGACTGGGGCACGCGGACACCCGGTGTTCATTAAGGTGACGTTGATGACGCTGGTGTAATGATCGCAGGGATACTCTCTGAAACGAGCGGGATAAACCTTTCATTACTAGCGTGTGGATAGTCAGAAGGTTCGCTGAATGAGCGAGAACCGGGATAAAGATGGAGGACGATTAATGGTGGCGGCTCGGGGAGATCAGACTCGTTTTAGGACCGACACGGCGGATTAGACGGCGTTGGCAAGCGTCGAAAGGAGCCGTCTCCTCCAACTCGGTAGGTCGTATTTCATCTGGCAACGCACCTTGCGCTAAATATCGTTGCCAAGGCAAGGAAGCAACCGTCCGCCACTTGTGGCTCGCCGGTGTAGCAACGGTCGACGACCCAGTCGAGGAGAGCTCCAATGTCGGGGTTTCCTTCCAGCAATAAAACCACGGTCTCCCGAGCCAACGCATAAATCTGAAATCAAATCCCACTTGTCACCACTTCTATCATCCAGCTTTAACGTTTAGTCGTCAGAGATCGCAGACCTTCTCGTCTTTGCTGGCCAACAAGAGGTCCAACCACTGATACAGTATCGCACCTTCCTCGGAAAGTGATTGAGGATTAAAACAAGGTCCACAACAGAGTAGACCGCTCATGGCCTGCAGAGCGGAGAGCTGCAACTCCGAGCAAGCCTTCTCCTCCTCGTGAGAGAACGAAGTGCTGGTCAGAGGTCTTCCATAATGGCCAGCCCAGCTCGCAAAAAGCGTGAACAAGTTGCGCCGGAGGTCCCTCTTCAGCAACGTATGACACGTCTCTACTGTAACAAAAAGAAATAACCTTCGTTACAGTCAGCTCATCACCGGTTTCATTATTTTCTCGTCCCGTGGCTGCCCTATTTCCCACACTCACGCGAAAAACTCTTGATCATCTTCCTGATGAAGTTGCAGAAGTGCAACTTTATGTCTCTCACTGCAGGCGCCTCCTTGTCGGATTCGTTCTCCAGGTATAGCCTGGCGCCGTCTATGTACTCGACGAAGGTAGGGTGCAAAGACTGAGTCTCGCGGTCCAGGACGGCAGGGCTAGGGTCGATAAATCATTTGTTTAGAAAACTAGGCGACTTTTGGACAACCAAAACCACACAATAGAGCCCTCTAAAAGCAGGAGCAACGTACCAAATCCCGAAAGTCCCGTATTCCGCTATCAGCTCCAGAACGCGGACGAGCTGCAGCCTTAAGGCGTCCCTCCTTCGTCTCCTCCTCATGTTCTCTTGCTTTCGATCCACGGCTTCCCGGATATAAGGAACCAGCTCTTCCATTAAGTCCCTGCAATAGCGGATGCTTGGTATATACTCAATCGTTTGATGCATACAATTTCCAGGTTGTTTTACTAGGACGTTCATACTTTAGGGCGTCGGCATTGACTTTGCCGATGGCTTGGACAACGGCATCTCGCACGTACACCGCTTCGCATTTCAATAAAGGAACGGTGAGTTTGTAGAGAGCTGCAGGACTTGCATTGTTCCCTGGGGACTTGTTGTCACCTCGTTCCGCCGAGAGGCTGTCCGGGGAAGAGCTGCAAATTAAAATAGGTTGAATATCCACAGGCCATTCTGCGTATCGCGAAGACTACGTACAAGGAACGGTCAAGGTATATGGCAGCAAGCTAAACCTACCGCAAATTCAGGGTGCCATTTTACGAGAGAGCGAGATGTCTAAAAGTAACGAGGTGCAGCTGGTAGCTAGTTCCTTGGGAACGTCTCAAAGTCTCGACCTTCAACCCTTTCTCATTTTTTCTTTTTTCATTTTTAATTGACCTCCGTTGCAAAAGATACACCCTAACTCGAGATCTCACATCACTGCTGGTGTCCTGTTCAAACGTTCCGACAGAAGCATCTCGTCTTCTGTCGGAACGTTTAAGGGCCAAGGAAAGCCAGGTCGGCCATATTGAATTTAGACGCCAGAGGCGTCCCATGAATTTTTCAGGATTTCCTCGCCTCTGATGTCAAAATTTAATATGGCTGACCTGGCTTTACTAGACCCTTAAGGCCGGCGGTTCTCTCGTCCTTTAAGAGGCCCAAATAGTGGCGGAGCGTTTAGGGGGGAAATTCTCTGGCAGAGGAGGAGGGTAAGATCGTTTTCCCCGCGACTGGAAGCAGCTCGTGTGTACGTGATTCCGGAGGTTTGATTGGCTCACCTGGTCCGCTTATGCCTGGTGTAGATGCCGGAAATGGACGGTACGGAGAACCGGCCCGGCAGGGTCTGGGCCCCGCCGAGGTTCTCCAGGCTCTGACTCAACTCCTTACTCATGCACAACACACCAAACTCCACCGTATGCTGACCACTAGAGTATGCAATACAGTGTACCACCGATACTCCTTGTATATAAGATATTATTTACTGCAGAGGACTACTCTATACCCCCGACAGAAAGACAGATAGAGAAGAGGTAGGGTCGAGATGAGCGTGCGTGGTGGATGAAGGAGAGCATGCAGATCGTATGGAATTTACGTCGCACTATCCGGTCGCTATCGACGTATCGGTACCCCGTTTGCCAAGCATGTGTTTGGTAGGAATTGGTGCCAGTTTATGAAACATCGGAATACCCATCGCTCAGGGGTTAACCAGCCGGTGTACGAAGTTAATTCGTTGCCAGGACACGAGTGTTCCGTGTAAAGAGATATGCATGAGCAAAGTCGGCCCTTGGAGGTGATAAGGAGCGAAAGGTCTTTCAGTGGCACCGCAGACATAAGCAGACGAGACCCAACACCAATTAATACCAATTGTTAATCAGATATCAACTATGCTGCCAACTCTACCGTTTGCTTCTCCGCGTAAACGGGAATTGAATCATAGTACTTGCAACGAGGATGCAGGAGGGTAGAGATGCTTCGCGTGATCTTTGGGAACCATTCGAGTATGTGGAATGAAGGAGCGAAGTCGGAGAGATGAGATGGGTGCACGTTTCATGAGATCTGTCCAAACTAGGTCTTGCTGGTCGGCGAGCCTTTCCGCGCCGGCAACAACTCTGGCAGTTGCAGTGCGCGGAACATCGACAAACTCTCGTTCGCCAAGGTTGCTTTACCTAAGGCTAAGATCTGGACTGGCACAACGAACGATCGGGCTTGGTATCGGGGGGACCACTCTGTATCCGAATGTCAAGTAGTTCTTCCATACGTGCATGTACACGTCTCTTTCGTTGACTGGTTTCCGGACAGCGGTGGAGCTCCGGAGAAGCGAAGCTCTGTTGTCGTTCACGGGTCTGCAGGATAAAAGACGATAGGATGAACACAAAACCTCATCTGCGATAATACTCATGATCTAGCTGGAGGTTCTTACGTTGGGTCTACGACGGTGAAGAGGGAATTTATCCGGTTGAAGACAACGGGCCAGGAATGCGCCACCGCGGTAGGACAACACGTCAATACTCGGTCTTTCTCCAGAAATGCAAAGAGACAAGTGCTCCAAGGATCCGCTCCGTTTAGGTTTAAAGTCGAGGAGCTCTTTGTGCTATTCTCGTCGTGGAAACCTAAATAATCCGAAATTTCTGCTTGTATCCAGCAACGATTAGTACGCGTTTCTATCATTTACCTGCTGTCCAGACACAACTGCTTCTGTCAGCAATCCATTGAAGATCCACGTTGGACGTTGAAGCAGCCGCTGCCTTTTCGGCTGGTGGTAGCATGTGGTAACACTTTTCCAAAACAGCCGGACAGGCGGCGTCTATTATGTCTATTACTGGTTGATCATCTTCTAGGCCGCCTATCATAAAAAAAAAATAATGAAAAGAATGGTGAATCAATACAAATATTAATATATTGCAATGCGCTTACCCAGAGTCTTCAATAGCAGTTTGACTTCACGAAGAATATGGACGGCTATGCGCCGAGGATACAGTCGGCAATTGCAGAGCATCACTAAAGAGAATCCTTCGACTAGATGGAAAACACTGGACACGGGTTCCACCTTCTGGCCGGGCTCGGTTTTTTTAATGGACCCATCGGATCGCAAACCCACTCTCGCAGGATCGATCGGTGGTTCCTTGGATTTAACGCTGGGACTAGACAAAGCATTCTTCCAACTGGTTAGCAATTGAAGTAACATCCTGAGACCATTGTCGACCAGTTGGGCAAACGTGTCCTGGACGTCTCTGGCGAGGAACTGAGTAAACCCGAGGACCACATCTTGTCGCCAATCAGGGAAGTCCAGGACCAGCGTTTGCAAGCTCTGGTAAGCCAATCCTCTAAGTTCTTCGTCCATGTGCACTGTAAGTCGAGCAAGGAGGTCAACTAATTCAGCTCCAGTCATTCCGTCAGGAATCAATCGAGGAACGGCAGCTACACAAGTCCTGAAGAGATCTATCCTTGGTTTCCGTTCGCCAGTAATCATCTCATCGGGCTCTTTGTTCATGTTTTGAGTGCTGGTCATCATCAAGGGCCTCCCATAGTGTACATCCAATGCCCTCAAAATGTCGACGAACACTCGTCGTACGTGAGGGAAGTAAGAAGACATCCCTATGCTTTTCGCGGTGTCCTCGGTTAGCATCTGTACAGTTAATGATTATTTTAATAATCCGAACGACTGCAAAGTTGTTGAGAAATGCTTGATTATTTCAATAATCTCAACTACGTGCCTTGTTGAGAAATGTTTTCTTAACGCGCATTGTGTTACCGCTGGGGAGAACACCCATTGTGCGCGGCATTGGTGGCTCGCCTTCTTTCTGTTGCAAACTATCAGCAACGACCAGGAAAGCTCGAAGTCCGATGCTCATGCGTTCCGGAGTCAGGATGATCTTGACCGGGCGACCAACGGAAAGAAGGTCGAACACTATTTCTCTCATCGCGAAATCTAGTCTCTCCTGAGCTATGAATTGAATGATCTTCACAAAGATGTTCAAGGGAGTGTCCCGCGGGACGACAGCCTTTGAGCCTTTAGGGAATAGTGAGTTCACGATGCTCTGCAGTCTGCTCTGAGTCGCGGAATTGCTCTCGCACTTTATGCGAATCATGTAGACCCACAGCAGTCGATAGAGGGCCTCTGCAACAATCATTATAAATCATCCTAGGGATTCTAAACATCATGAACAATGCGCAATAGTACCTAGAGCAACGCGGCACATCTTTGGATCGCGGTTCTTCAGATGGGAGAGACACATTGCCAGGAAGTAATGCCAATTTTGCAAGAAAAATGTCTTTTGACTGACACAGAGAAGGCAAGTTACGAGCGGAAACAATGCTAGGCGATGCTTTGACTTGGTGCACATATCCAAAGTTGTGGAGTATAACATCTCTACGAAGTTCTTTAGACAAGGAACGTTGACTTCGTTCTTTACAGCCTGAAAGTGAAATTCATTAGTACGGTTGATGATAAATTTCAAATTCGGGATGCTTACTGCAGCGACTGGAACGAGTATTTCGACGAATAGGCCGGCAAGAGCGTGCTTGACGTCTTTGTCTTTCACTTCTAAAAAATATTGAGCACACTCCTGCATGAACTGAAACGAGGCCTCGAATTCTTCTATAGGAACCATCTAAAATCAAGAGATAGTTTTTATTAATTTCCTGTCTAGTGTCAATTAATCACGGGATATAGTTAACTGCTTATTACCTTAACTCTGAAAAACTTCATTCCCATGAGTAAGGATATAATACTCTGCGTAGTATGTGGTCCAGGTTCCTTCGCTCTAAGTTCCTTCAATTCCACCATGAACCGTTTCCTAACAGACATGAACCGAGCTTGTGCGAGCACTCCGATAACTTCTGCATATAAGTCTGCGATAATGTGAATGTTCCCTGCGTTGGGATCATTTTGAATCCTGAAAAATATCGTTTACAATCTATCTGATAAAGTTCCTTATCTTGTCATTATTGTTGCGACCCATACCCTTCGCGATATTTGAAATGTTTAAAAGCGATGTTCTCAATGTACGTCACGAGATCTTCGTGGCCTGGATGGAAGGGAAGTTGGCGTAAAATTTCGATTAACATCAGACAAAAGATAAATTCCACGGCGAGGTCTCTTCTCTCTTGCAATAAGTCAGCTTCGCTCCTTTCCACAGTTTCGACACTTCCTGATACGATCGTGTACATAATACTGTAATAAACAATGGATGAATTAATATAGTTATTCCGTAAATTATTTTTAAGCAAATGTATACCTCTTCCCCTTTTGATCTTCCTTCCCAGGAGCTGGCTTTTTTTGATCGGTTCCATGGTCAACCAGTTGTCTTTCGTACCAATTAAATAGTGCTCGCAAAATAGATGGTAAACAGTGCTCTGCTACAGAACCAAAGGCTGAAAGTAGTTGATCGAATTGGAGATCTTCACCTCTTTGTAAAACTTTTGAAAGTTGCTTTTCCTGCCGAACAAAGTACTGGTTGATTTTCGGATATATTGTCGTAAAAGTTCGGATAATTTAATAAGATACAAACGTGTTCTGTCATGACTGCTTCCATTTTTTTCTCAGCTTGGGATGTAAAGTCAACGAATAAAATACGCATTACAAGTTCTCCAGGTCTCAGATCCATGTCTCCGATTTGTTGAGGCTTAATTGTCTCTTTCTGCGCACCCCAAGGCAATATAACTGTTACTGCACTCACCCTGCTTGAACTCGATTCTAGTATAAATCATTTTACAGTTAGTTTTGACTATTGGTCTTTTCCTGTTTGATCCTTACCACAATTAATTTAATTTAATTGTTTGGAGGATCGGGTCAGCAATTGCTCACCGTTACCAGAAATTGACGTACTGGCGGTAAGTATGCTGGAAGCATCACTACCTTCTCCCTGGGTCGATCCATGAACCACGAGCTGGTCTTGGCAAAAACCAGAGAAACTTTGTGACGTTGCATCTGTATTTCCTTCTTGTACACTTTCAGCATGCGATGATCTAGCTTCGGACACTTCTGGGAAAATGTTTTAACCAGTATAATGTTCAAGTACTTTCGATAATATACTACATAGTTTTTTTCTAATTTTAAAAAACCAACAGTTGCTGTTCTGTGACATTGAGAGAAAGATGTCACCCTAACACTTTGACACTTTCTCTGGCGACTGAGTCGCCCTCTAAATCTGCCGCTTTGCAAATCTAACACAAGGGAACCAACTAAGAGATGAAGCCCTGTTTTGTAGCGTAACGGATGCCCACATAGTACCCTAACTTAATTACATCAGGCTTGACTTTACATAGATGTGGGCTCCTACAAATATGGTTGCATGTACCATGACATTGATGGCCACTGCTTACCAGCTTGTGCCTCATTGTTCGTAGTTGGTTGATTTTCGCCTCCTGCAAAATAATTGTTTACGTGAACATTCATTTCTCTCCATCCTATATACACTAAGCCATGTTTATACTCTAAATAACCAATTTCTACAGATATAATTACATCAAAGAATTACAAACCTTCGGTCATAATTTCGATGTTCACCTCTTTCTCGGGCAACATCTTCGATACATATTGTCAGTCCATATCTGAAATAATATTAACGATTTGAAGTTACCTGCCATGAAACGTTCTACTGTTGCATAAGACTAAATTTTCTAAGCCACAAATACATATATATTGAACTGTCAATTCCAATGTGCATGTACATCCCTTAAAAAAATATCTAAACCCCAGTAAAGGAAAAGTCGTTACTATCAAACAAATATTGCTACCACATATAAAGCTGTCAGGAACGGAATACATCAAACTACTCTTACTCGTAACATTCTGTCAATCCGCATCTAATTGTTCACAATAAGCTTAAAAACGATAACAAGTAATCTGTCATTAAAGCATTTGATTAGCTTCCTAAGTACCATTATCAGCTCACTAGCCTTATGGAGGTAGTTTTGTTGACAACGTTCTATCAATAATGCAAAGGCCTCCGGTCTACATCACAAGTGCGCAGCAGAGGACAATTGTTCATAACAATTCAACTATAACCTGAAACGTCAAACCACAGTCGTGACTATCGTCTATCAGAAACACTTAATAAGGATGGTTCCTTCGGAGTGTTTCATAACGTGACCGTAGGGTAAGCAGAGAATTTAAAACCTTGGATTGGGGGTGGTCAGTAATTGATTTGCCACAAAATTAATTGGATTTATTTCTGACGTTTCTGGCACAGGTCCGGCATGATTCATGTCAGAGGCGATATGTTTGGACAACGTTGTCAGAACGCGAGCATTTTTCCATTTAGATTTGATAACAGAGATGAGTTGCGAGACTGCTCACGGGCACGATCGTGCGATCGCTTCCTGTGCTGCCCTCTGATTTCGTACGTTAGCTTTCACCGTTTTTTGCCCCCAAGGGCGGCGCAACGAATTTCTGATAGGAGCTCGCTCACTCGCGATGGCGGTACCATCTACCAGTCGCCGTTGGCGGCTCACGTATGTACTCGTGATGGTAATACCATGCGGCAGTTGACAGTGGTGGCTCACCTACGCTTACCAACACTGCTCGCTTTTGATGGTAAGGCAAGTCACGAGTACGTGAGCCGCCAACGGCGACTGGTAGATGGTACCGCCATCGCGAGTGTGCGTGCTCCTGTCAGAAATTTGTTGCGCCGCCCTTGGGGGCAAAAAACGGTGAAAGCTAACGTACGAAACCAGAGGGCAGCACAGGATGCGATCGCACGTCCTGCCCGTAAGCAATCTCCCAACCCATCTCTGAGAATAATTCCTGAGTTTGGCAACCCTGCATTCCTCCACGTTTGTACCCAGATCTCCCTCGAGGTTGCGCCCCGCTCCACAAGAGATACCCAGCAAAATAGGGCTTCCGGTCGCGAGATTTGAATTCATGGAAACGTTATTCCCGATAATTTCTGGAATCAGCGATTCAAGGTCCACTGAAATTCAGGAGCGATGAACCGGTCTCGATTAAAGCTCATCGTCTTAACAAATCATTTCATAAGTCGGGACACTAGCAAGACTTTCCTGACCTTTAATAACATCATACATTACAAGGTCCCACGTGGAGACAAAACTTGCCCGCAATAATAAATTCCCTGGACTATATTCCCGTGCGCCACCGTCGTTAATAATTCCTGCAACGCCTGGCCCCCACCTCTTGCTAAGTGTTATCCGAATAGACCTGTCGCTCGCGTAACAATTTCCATATATATTCGTGGATCTCGTTTTTACGCAAAAATACATTGAGACGTTGCACCAGCTGAGCGTCCGGGCGATCGGCAAGTCGCGACATCGATCGGCCTTAAAGTAGTGGCCTTCCACCGTGTCAGTGCTAACTGCATTTGTGCAATGCTTTTAGGGGGAATTCCTTAAGCCCGTTAATTCCTAGGAACTTACATAATTAATCGGTTAATTTGACGGTAGAATTTCGCGGTTTCGAGGCCCAAGAAAGGGTCAGAAATAGCCGGTCTGCAGCTCGTCCGTTCCACGGCCACGGTCGCCGTAATGTCACTCGTAATTACGCACGTTGACCTTCTCGAAGCTCTTAAAACGGGATAACTAGCAATAAGGTCGCTTCTACAGCACCGAACAATACAATAACCCGAGAGAAATTCCTAGAACTCCCATAAAGGACTCAGGTGCACCTAATGAACATCATTGAACGGGACGTTTCAGCACTATAGACGCGACATTCTGATCGTTATCGAGCCAGTTATCTGACTGTCCAAGTAACCCGATATTGCCGTGACACACGCTCGATTCGACTTCCTTCGCAGACCAACCTCCTCGCGTTATCGCGAACTGTGGTCACAGTCTGCTGCCGGTGATTCCCATATCACGGGGGAATATTAATTAATACATATCTGCATTCGGGCATTCGCCGTCCGATCGGAGGACGCTACACGGTCGTTGCAAGGCGACGGGACAGAAATTGGCGTTTCTCTATCGGAAATCTCGGAATAAACGTTCGGGGCTTGAGCGACGAGCTTCTCGGTTCAGGGCCAACCCTTCGTAACGTCAAGGTACGAAGAGCACGAGTGGTCGTCGTAAGCCAAGAGCGTAATACTCGCAAGGCCGTTTAGCAGCGAAACTTGGGCTTCTGACGATGCGTTGGAGACCTCTTCCCGCAGGTGCCAATCGATGCTGTCGATAATAAAAGAAAAAAATCAATTAGTAGAGTATCACCACAAAGAATACCTCATCTACCCGCCTGCTGCATTTCTTCTCCAGAAGAGAGAAGAAAGACGCGGTCACATTTCCCTGTGTTTACTTAAGATGACATTAAAGGGTTATTCTATATACACAAAATATTTATAAAACTTTTCTCCAAATTGAGTGCACCGAATCATTTGAAACATCAGCACGTGATTATGAAGGCTCTAAGGACGAATGTAATATTCATGAAATGTCATTTAGAAAAAAAAAAATTCAAATTGACATTTCATGAGCTCCACGTTTTTCCTTCTGTATATATATATAGAATGAACCTTTCATATCAGTTTAAATAAGCGTATGCCTTGCAACCCTCAAGGTCGAATCGATAAATCAATGCAGGAGGAACTTAGCGCGGCGATTGCTTAAAAAGTACCAGGGGAGGAACGGACGACTCGTTTTCGGGAGTCTCTCTCGGTCCAGGGTTTAGAGTCGTCTCTTCTTTCTTTCCTCGTAACGGCGACAACTTGCGGACAGCGGGGTACGCGCGGGGTCGGTTACGCATTTAGCAATCAGCTATTCTCTGCAAGGTCCGCTACGTGCATCTTCAAGATGTATAAATACATCTTGGTCGACGTTGCTCCATTGAACTTTGGCGCCGCTCCGCCACCCTGGACTAAAGCCAGGGTTACGCAAGGAGCGCCCCGTTGACCTCCTTCTTCGGGAGGTTGACCTTGCATCTCGTTCTTGAGACCGAAACACCCTGAAGACCCGACCACCTAGGTCTGCCGCCTCTGGAAAAGAAACCATTGAATGAGAGGCGAACGATTGCAAGGTCCCCTCCGACCATCGCCCCCTTGACGTTCTATTAACAACTATGCAACTTCATAAGCAATTACAATTAATTGCCTTAACATTCAGGTCCTCGTTCGAAGTCGCCGAATTTTTCGCACGCGCGTTCATATTGATTATGGATGGAGCTGCGCGATCTCGTTGCCAATCATCAATCGGTATGAGGACAGAAAATGCGGTGGAGGTTGTCCCCAATTGGACACCTTGCTATAGATCGCTCGGGGAGAATTTCGGGCATGCGATGACCCTGACGTGACGAGCAAGGGAATGCCCCTTCGCGATTGGTGGAGTTGCAGGAAGTGACGCTCTCGCCCCAACTCGCGTGGGTAGATTCAAACACGGGACGCCTGTAAAGTCCAATTTACGCGTCCGTCCTAAATTACCTAGCCCAATGGTTTACAATAAGAAATTCGTGGACAACGATTACGTATTCCTTATCCTACCCCTCAGTTTAAGCATAAACGCCCCCAAAGCACCCTGCCTTAACCCTATCTTAACGCTTCACCGACCGGAAGCCTATTAATCGGTTCTGCGATGCCACAATTTCTATCCTATTGCCAAATTCGCCGGTGGGTAATATAATAAGTGTTAATTGTTGGCTATAAAAAATTTCAAACGGAAAGTTTACGCTAAAGGCTAGACTTAAGATAAGGAAGCATAAAGCATTTACAGTGAACAATTAAATTAGGGTCAAGTTAGGGGAAGGACGGAGGCATAAACCGGGCTTAATGCGAGGAAGAATTGCCTTTCCCTCTCGTGTGGACCCCCGCCATTAGCTTCACGCCGGTTAATCTCAAAAGGACATCGTTGCGTAACGGTGGTCGACGTCCGGATTCGCGATGGAGCGAGTGACCGGCAATCTGTAAAGAAAAACGACGCCGAATCATGAATTCGCCCATCCCAATCCCAGCCATTAGATTCACCTTAAGAAATGCAGATAACACCGACTACTTATCCCGTTAGGCGTAACATCCCAGACAAGAAGTGCATTATCGAGCGCGGCCATTGGCGGGGCGAAGTCCAGGGCCGTGGAATCAGGCAATAAAGCGTCGCGGCGCCCTTTTCGCGCAGCCCTCTTTCTTGCATCTTCCAGCCCATACACTGCTTTCCAGGCCTACGTTATTTCTCTTCGTTCCAACTAACCGTGGAAACCTTGCACGCCTCCCGAGGGCCCCTAAAAATAGCGCATTCGTAGCACGTCCCTGACACCTCGCAGCTTCCGATTGGTCGGCGCGACGGAAGCAGGATCGGCAAAAATGGCGGCGATTTGAACGAGCCGGCGTGACGCCTGGTCGCGACCGACGTAAGGTGTGAAAATATTAGTCGACCAGCCGACCGACCCGGAAGAAAATCCGCGCGTGGTCGGGCCGCACGTGTAGATCCTCGATCCGCGCCCGCTTAGGCTATAAATACGCCCTAACCTCCGTAAACTCGTATTCGGATGGCTGCACGCGCGTTTTCGCGCGCCCCAGAATGTGGCGCGGCGCGCGGAAGTGCGCCGAGTGTCAGGGTTGCCGAGGCTGCGGAGGTTGCCGCGCGGCGGCGCTGGGGTGCACGCTGCGCATGCGCGGGGGTGTCTGCTGGCCCAAGAGACTATTCTTAGCGGAGGGCCGATTCGCCGACAGGAACGTTCCCTCGCTCACTCATCGTCCGGCGCGCGTCCGATCTAGGAGTCAGGTGCCTCTCCTCTTCCTCTCGCTGACCCGCGTTCTCTCGCACTCGTACCTCGTTCTCACACACACATACACATACCAAGTATCCAAAATGTCTGGACTCGCGGATCCCGTGGCTTTTGCCAAGGATTTCATCGCCGGTGGAGTGGCCGCGGCCATCTCCAAGACGGCCGTCGCGCCTATCGAGCGAGTCAAGCTTCTGCTGCAGGTTCAGCACATCTCGAAGCAAATCGCCGAGGACCAGCGTTACAAGGGTAAGTAGGACATCGGGATGCAGGTACTCACGACCTGGGAATAGAGAATAAATTCAGTCATTGATGATAAATCATAAATCATGAGTAGGAGGCGCGACACGAGGCTGAGCTAGGGGTCTCCCTTTGCTAGCGCCGAGCGACGCCGCCTCGCGATTGGCTAGCCAGGCCGCTGACGTTTCCGCGCGTCATTCCTGTCACGAGCTTTCCTAGTCGGCAAGGAGACCTCTCCTAGGCCGACCGGGCGAGCCGTTGTGGGAACTCGACGCCGTTACGTAACCCTGAGGGGCCGTCGACGGCGTTAAAGCCCGATTTCCACGGCCACGGGGACACCCGCGACTGGTTGCCAGGGCTTTATGTAACGCGATTTTCCTACCGTTATGTAACTTCCGGGCCTTTTCGCGACCCGGGGACGTGGAGAGCACCAGCCCCCGCGGGCGGGTCGATAAGAGCGAGTTTGCCGTCGCGGCCAGATGGCAGCAAGCGTCGCGGCGTGGGTCGCCTCTGGAATCGGCCACGACGATCGATCTCCCTGCGGTCCAACATGGCCGCCCTCCATGGCCCCCGAGGGTTGACCCGACGACGAGCCGGCTTCCGACGTGGCTCCTTAGAGTTTCGCTCCGCCGTATTCTTCTCTTCGTCCATTTTTACAGCCTTTTCGTCTTCTACGTTCTGGTTTCCCTCGGGAACGGTTTCCGTCGACGTTTCTCAGAAATGGCCACGCTCTCGGATTAGAGGTTACCTTCTCATGCCACCGACTCGCATAATGGAAATAAAACTCGAGTTTTAGGAATCCTTGAAATACGAAGGCATTATAATTTTGCGGTAATTTATACTTAGGGTTATTCGTGATTTAATAAGAAAGAGGGTTTGATAATACCTCTAGTTAATGGGAAACTCCTGTTCATGCTTGTTGAAAGAGTGAGGTTAGGTTCTCTAGTGCAGTTTCTCTTGGGAATGGTTTCGGTCGATTTTTCGTCCCTAGCTCGGGTTAGAGGTTATGTCTTCGAGTCAGCGACTTTGAATACACGTCCTAGAATAATTTCTGGTGTTTAATGACTCTCGCGATATAGAGGCCTTAAAACCTGACGTCTATTCATATTTTCTGTAAGATCCTTTCTGATTTAATGATTAGTACACACGAAGAGGACTAGGAAAGCAGAATTGGGTTTGAAAGATATCGCTAATGCACGCTTGCAGAAAGATTGAGGTTAAGCTTTCTCCGTTCCGGTTTCCAGGGGAACCCGCGCTCGGCATTGAGATTACGTTTGCACCCTGGAATGAATTATTAACTGATGTTCAAGTTCAGGGAACCTCGCAATACCGTGACCTTAATATTTTGCATCGATGCATACTTGGCAAGGAATAATTAATGATTTAATGATTAGGAAAGAGGTTAGGAATGAGTCTGATACGGGTACCGCTTATGGGGGGCGTCCACGCTTGCAGAAAGATTGAGGTTAGGCTTTCAGAGCATGGGGCCTCGGGAATTACACGGTGGAAGCCTCTCGGAGAAGGGAAGATTCGTGCCTCGGTCAGCTTTTAGAGATCCGTGGGTATTCGTGTCAAGGTTCGCGATATTTGGCTCTGTCTGGCTCGTAGAACGCGACCGATGGAGACGTTAGCTTCCACGTGAATCGAGTCACGTGATATTAGTCGTATTAGTTCCTACCTGGACGATTCGCTTTTCTTTCTCTCTTTCGATATGTATTTCGAACGTTTCGCGACGCGCGTCATTCGAAACGCGTCATGCTCCCACACGAATTTCGAGTTTTCCTTGAGAAATCTTTCAAACGGTCGCCACGACGTCACCGCACGGGAACGATCAAAGCGCAGGAATATCTTACAGGGGAGGCAAGGCTGCATTAAATCCAGTTGACGCTAGATTTGATCGAGTCAATTGAACGGTAGCGCCGTTCGCGCTGGCTCGCATACGAAGGGAAACGCAGCTGTCGGCCGAACCGAGCGCCGGGCGAAAGAATAAATCCGGTCCGCCATTTTGGATCCGCGGACCGTCTCCGCGAATTTAAGAAAATTCATTCACAGAGGAAACGCCTCGACTTGCCTCGATCAATAAATGGAAACTGAGATGATTTTTCGTTCATCTTCAACGGTGATTAACCGTCCAGTTCACTTTGGGAGAGATTTAATTGATAATTGTCCTCCCGGATCGGGCGAAGGACGCGCCGCCATGTTGGATTCTATATGACACTTCCGCCATTTTTTCGATTTAAATCCCTCCGCGTCGGTGCAGCGAAGGTGTGGCCCGTTGCACAGCGGGCCAATTTAAATATTCTTTTGTCTAAGGATATGTTTCATCTTCTGTTATCTATTTTACATTATAGAAAGACAAAATGTATTTTACAAAACAGATAAACAATTGTCTATCGATCATTTTCAAATTATATGCTTCATTGATGAATGCTTGGTACATTATAGACAGAATTTGCAAACATCGAACGTTTGTTTTTATCTGGTGACCTTTTGTCAGAGACAATTTTGGATAGAATTGAAAGAAACAAATTTGGATTTTTCTTGTATTGTCTGAAATCATATTTGTATATATTAGATTGAACGTATCGTTGCATAGTAATTTAGGATAGGATTACTTAAAAAGCATATTATCTTAAATAACTGTCGATGACTACTTTTTGGCTGAAGAATATTTAAATTGACCCACCGTGTCGTACCAAATTTCTAACGACCATTGTTCAAGATTATTAATGTACCGATAAGTTTGCGGAGACAATTAAGATGTCAATTAATATTTCTCTTTGGTTTACCTCTAGGTATGGTCGATTGCTTCATCCGTATCCCGAAGGAGCAAGGATTCCTCAGCTACTGGCGTGGTAACTTCGCCAACGTTATCCGGTACTTCCCAACTCAGGCGTTGAACTTCGCCTTCAAGGACAAGTACAAGCAGGTCTTCTTGGGTGGTGTGGACAAGAATACGCAGTTCACGCGTTACTTCCTCGGAAACCTCGCTTCCGGTGGCGCCGCTGGAGCGACGTCTCTCTGCTTCGTCTACCCCCTTGACTTTGCGAGAACCAGGTGCATTACCTTCATCGATCGCTACGCAATATCTGTGAAGAGTTAGAAAATTCTCTGTGAAATTAAGTCGGAGAATATGACAGAAAATTACCAGTATATCACAACAGGGCGAGACTTTGTCGAGAATTCATGAGTGGATCGTAATCAATATTATGAAAACAATCATTAACGTACACTCCATTGTGAATTAGTGGGCAACAAGGTACTTTCAATCAAGGTTACAGAATTATTTGAGATTACATGGAACGGTCTCAGGGTTAATTTTTGCAAAACCAGAGGTTCAGAAAAATTTAAGACTAGAATTCATCGATCTACTTGAGTTCTCATCAATCGTCTCAATTAGATATGGGTGTAAAGCTTTAATGATCAAAATGATAAAATTCGGCCCTGTTTTTTTTTCTTATTTCATTGAAAATATAAGTATTAACATATTCTCGTGAATTCTCGAAAAAGATGTCTCCAGGAAATACCGGCAATTTTCTGGTATTTAATGTCATTCTTCTCGGCGTAATGTCCCGTGTTTAGAATTCTGTATCTATCGAACTCCTGGATCTCACATTTGAATTTATGTCGATCGGAGAGCCACTTTAACCCTTTGGACCCCAGAGACGACTCTCAGTCCTCACTTGGTTCAATATAAGGATGGCATTCGGGTGAAGCTCAAAAGCTTTGACATCAATGTTTAGTATGCAAAGTGGAATATCCAGCCTGGAATTGCTGATTCCCCCTAGCGAAAAGACTTAATATTATTCGAGGGCGAAGGATTAACATTTCTATGTCTCTTCAAGGTTGGCTGCGGACGTCGGTAAGGCGGGTGGAGAGCGTGAGTTTTCCGGTCTTGGTAACTGCTTGACGAAGATCTTCAAGGCCGATGGCCTCGGCGGTCTCTACAGAGGATTCGGTGTATCCGTCCAGGGTATCATCATCTACCGTGCGGCATACTTCGGTTTCTATGACACCGCTCGTGGCATGTTGCCCGACCCGAAGAAGACTCCCTTCCTGGTTTCCTGGGGTATCGCCCAGGTGAGTAACGGGCATCGCTTCCTCGGCCCATCTCGGACAAAATGCTTCCCAAGCTTCTCCATAAACGTGGCCCTGAGCCATCGATTACACGCTCCGCTTTTTTTTCCAGGCCGTCACCACTGTCGCTGGTATCGTCTCGTATCCCTTCGACACGGTGCGTAGGCGTATGATGATGCAGTCCGGCCGTGCCAAGTCCGAGATCTTGTACAAAAACACCCTCCACTGTTGGGCGACCATCTACAAGTCCGAGGGTGGCAACGCCTTCTTCAAGGGCGCGTTCTCCAACGTCCTCCGTGGTACCGGCGGCGCCCTGGTACTCGTCCTCTACGACGAGCTGAAGAACCTAATGTAAACCCGAGAGCCTGATCGACACACACCTCGTCATCACCTCCTTACCATCCCAATCACTTATCATGGCTACCAACTACCATTATTCGAACTACCAACACGATTATAATACCCTCACCGAACCGGTACGAGAGAAAGGGTGTCCGCGCCGCGCGACCTAACGGGGAGAATAATTCAACGGTTCCATCGATCGCTCGAACACGATTCTAGAAAATGCTTAGAAATGAAAATATAACAAAAAAAAAAGTGGGATGTAATATTAAATAAAAGACACATGGGCGCGCCGCGGTCGGACGGAATTTCACATTCTGGGACTAGACTAGATAACACTCGTTTAACTTATTGCCAGACTCAGTATTTTAATTCCGCAAACGGGCAAGCCCAGTCTTAGTTCTTAGGGCCATTCGTGATGTGAGAGATCGATCCCCGGTAAACGTGGTTCTTTTTTTTTTAACTTTTTTTTTCTTTACCTCTGCTCTGGTCGCCGGTCAGGACACCGTATGACGGGTCGTGGATGATCGTCTACGATCTGTCGATTTATGGAGAGATTCATTAAGATCGGGTGGGAAAATCGAGCCGATCGTAATGGCGACGCAGCGAGAGGGACGCGCGCGGCGAAGATACACAGCGATGGCGGGGCGCGTAGACCTGGGCCGCCCCCCGCCCATATTCTCGGCCCGTTGTAGATAATTAAATAATTCGTAACTTACTATTGAGAGAGAGAACGATCATTAAAGTAACTCGTCAGCAACCGTCTGCCCGTTTCAGGGGTGGCCGGTATATTTAATTTCGCACTCCAGACGACTACCGCTGTAAGATAATCAAAGAGAGAGACAAACGATTCTTTTTTTTTTCCGAGTGTATGCACCGGATCTGTTCATGTTAGGATCTGTGCAGCGAACAGCAACTCAATAAAACCGACGTAAAACCTTATCTCCCTTGTGCTTAATCGATGCCCTCTACATGCTACAATTATTGGAACGTACGAGTACCTTCGTTACATAATTAAAAAAAAGATATATCGCAATCATCCACACGTGTTTGTGTAATTGTCACTCGAGCTGTTATCTATTGCTGACCAGAGGTCGTGGCCGACCATGTGGTAGGTATTACGCAAATGACATCGTGCCAATATTCCAAGGGACTTGTTAATGAATGTCTGCATGTATCTAGTACTCCTGCAGTACCTGGCTCCCTCGAGTATCTGTGCATCTATTTATGAACCTCCGATGATGTGTCTAAAAAAGAAACAATTACATTAAAGAAGAAGTGCATCTGGCGAGTCGGTTTATCCATTTAATGTATCTACATTTAGGGTACACTTCCATAAACGTACAGAGTTACGAGGATATTTGTACAAAATACGTGAGTTAACCTAAGTATGGCGAGCACTGTCGAATGCAATTATTCTTACGTGTATTGTGGATTCACTTGTATACTTTTACGTATACTTTACCTAATCCAGTTGTGTGTATGCGTTGACGTTTTAATGACTGGTCGAAAAATACCGTGGTATGGAATGACCAAGGGGCACAAATGAGTCGATGTGGCGGTGCAAGTTATATATACAATGTCGGAGCAAAAGGGTGATCGGGTGATTCTAGAACATCGGTCATACTGTAGTCCTGTTTGAATCACCTGCTAACATGTCCAGTATCCGGCTGATGCCGGGCATGTTCAAGAACGTTCCTAGGATAGGTACCCTTCTTAGGAAGTTTATGGCTACAGGCAGGAACCCACTGAAATGTACAAGTATTAAACTCGATGCACCTCGAATACAGTGGCAGAACAAAATACCTGAATAGGAGGACAAAGCCGTAAGTCTCGATGATCATGCCAACCAGTGGCCAGCCCATGAGGACTACTATGACTCCGCCAAGGAAAGCAGCGCTGGCTTTTGCTTTATGCCTTTGGAAGAAGAAACTGAGGGTTCTACGAGGTCCGATGACGCATGCCAAACCCGAGATGAACAGCAGCTAGATAGAAGGTATCGTCATTTAATTAATTAATTAATTATTAAACTTACATCTAAACATGGGTCTATAAAATAATAATATACATAGAGCTAAACTGCACCTATCGTAAACTAGAAAGGTATATTACAAATGATATACATAGAAATATACAAAACATAAACACAGCCTATGGCAGTTTCTAACCTCACTTATCACTTATGACGAGGGCAAAGACTTACATTACCGATGGCCAAGAGACCTTTGTCGAAAAACAGCAAAACCCCGAGGAAAAGGAACGAGATTCCAAACCCGGCGAGGCCTACGCCAATTTCTAAAACAGATAATTGTAAAATTTGCATAACCTCTTGATGCACCCTCTGTTCACTTTTAAACAGCCCTGTTTATAGACTCTTTGGTGAAACAAAACCGGAAATTTATTGCAAATTCAGTATAAATCGTTACATACTTTGAGTGTCGGTGATCTCGAACATATTTACAATAAATAAAGAGTAGGCACTTTCCGTTAAAGGACCCTCCTCAGCAAGCCGCCACCTAGGAAACCTAACCTATATCCACGTCATTGCCCGTGATGCGGCAAATGCCCGCGAGCGTCTCGGCAGCACATCTTAGTTCAGGATTCTAATTATTCTAATTAACTCCATTAACCGTGTCATTGTCATTGCACGTTCCTACGAGTTTGTAATCAGCTTCTCCATACACTCTTGATTGTGACACAGAAAATATCGCATTGGTTATCAGGACGCACTGAGTCATGTGGCATGGGCTCGTCTCCGAAGCAGACAAGTTGCCCCGCAGTTTGCAAAGTGAATATAGAAAATAAACTTAACTTTATTATCCAGTTCGATTTCTCGCCTATAGATACATGGGTCTTATTATACATAATATCTCGACTGCCAATCGTAACGTGAGAAGTAACGGCACTATTATACAATTAATGGGACGGGCGCGAATACTCGTTAATATGGCCAGCGTTCCTACTTCCGTCTCCTCGCAGCGTCGTCATTAGAAAATTATTTACAATCCATTAAGGTACAAGAACCGGGCCGAGCAGGTCTTAGCACATCAACGACGACCGCAGCCACTGGAAAAGAAAAAAGAAATCGACGTTTCCAGATTACTTCGCGGGTTCAATTTCCCGATCTTCGTCACGACTTCCGATAACAACGTACCTCCGACAGACTCAGTTTAATCGACCCGTTCTGCAGCGGGTCCTTGCTCTCGAAAATCCCTATAATTCAAAAGATACATTTAACATATGACCGGGAATTAATAATTGAATGCCCACGAGATCGGATTTTTACCGAAGGCGTTGCTGAGGTGGAGAATAGCCGAGACGAAGTCGCCGAATCTCAGGGTGCCGTCCTTCCTCATGTATCGCAGAATAAGGATCGACAGGATGTCCATGTTGAGCTGAAAGCCTGAAGAGTCGATTTTTTAGTCTACGTAAGGACCTTCCTCGGGCATGGTTCGACGTCTTTACGACTTACCGACTTCGAGAAGAGCGTCTCGCAGCCTCTCAGCCTTGAGGATACCGGTTTTCTCCTTGTTGTGATTTTTGAACGCAGCTTGCCAATACCTGAGGCTGCACATCAGATCCTTGAAGTCGTTAAACTTTAGCCTGCCGCTTCCCGAGCTCTATTTCGAGGTTTTGTTAAGGCAAAGGCACCGAAAACCCCGGGGAAGAAGGAAACTCTTAAGTCGCCCAAAAAGGATACGTCCATTGTCAGGACTACTTGTCTACAGACTTCCATACAGGCGCAACTTTTGATGTAGTCTGAAAAAGAGTAATTCATGGTCGGTACTTACCTCTACACGGTCAAAAATGTTTTGATACTTCAAACACATTTGAATATAAATGTATACTAAAACCAGAAACAGGTTATCGAAATGAAATCGGAACAAGTGTGGGCTGAATTATGAGCAACCCCGAATTTCTAAAAGAGCGGTCTAACCGCATATGAAATTTTTTTGAAACGCTTTTGCATACACATGTATATTTAACAAACAGAATGAGGGTATAAGGAAGGTCCTGACATCCATAAGATTTCAATTATTTCGTGGGTGTCAGGACCTTCTTCGTAGTCTCCACGTTCACGCTGACAAGTCAGAAACGATTCGGTACACCCAGTTAAGAAAATGCCCCTAAATTCCTCTCATATCTCACTTTCATCCCCTTAACCCTTTGCACTCCCAATTATTGAGATGTCGATACCTGATGCCGAGTCTCACTGAACAAAGGAGTGGAAAGGGTTAATATACATACGTATTCGAAAGCGTTGAAGGTACCAAAGAATTTTTTTTTTTAACAGCGCACGGTACCAAGATGAAAAACTACCATTAGGAAGGCAGGCTTCCAGGAGTTCCTGGAGTTCGAAAGCATTAACGGTCTTGTGCTCGTCGGCCAGCTGGAGGAAGACGGCCTCGTACTGGGAGAACCCTTTGCCTTCCAACGCGGGAGCCTTGACGATGGCCGACTTCATCAATGTCGGAGGCGTGTCCAGCAACCTGGGTACGAGGTAAATCCGCTAAGTCCCTTCTAGTCCGATAACCAGACTCCCAGTCACTCACTTCAGTTTCAGAGGCATGCTGCTGTACACCCTGAGGGTGAAGCTGGTCTCCTGGGTGGGCTCGAAGGTGGTGGGCACCAGGAGGTAGCCACCCTGTTCCAGCTGACACCTGTGGCTGACCTGCCGGCTGTTCGTATACTGCGAATTCACCAGTGACTTATTCTTCTTAAAGAACAGCTTGTTTATGGACTCGGTGCTGTTCTTCGGCAGCGTGTAGGCGGTGAAGCCGATGACCTACGAGCAGGGTCGTCATTAATCCCCGATCACCGGTGCCGGTTCGCCGCGAGCTTTACCTTGGGCTCCATGATGGAGTGCTGGTTCAGGGACACGATCACCTCCTCCATCTCGCTGAGTATGAGGTGAAGCTGCGGGTTTATGTGAAACGTGTCTGGAAATTTCAGAATCGCTCCTTCACTCGCTGCTGATAGGTATCCTCGCGCGCTGTCGGGCCCCCTTAAGATGATGTGAAAGTGGTATCTGAGGGGTCGTTCGTTCGTCAAACTTTTCTCCGAACTGGGCGTACCGAATCGTTTCAAACTTTACAACGTGAATGCTGAGGCTGTAAGGAAAGTCCTGACACCCATGAAATTACAATTACCATAAAAAATTTCATCCATAAAAAATTTCTTAAAGACCTATAAACAAGTCTTTTAATAATTGAAATTTCACGGGTATCAGGACCTTCCTTGTAGCCTCCGTATTCACCTTGTAAAGTTTGAAACGATTCGGTACACCCAGTTAGGAGAAAAATTTTACAAATGTTTGACATTTGGTGTATGTACATGACACTCTCATAACACCTTAAGGGGTCGACACGGAAGAGAGTACAATATAGAACCTTGATTGTTTCGACACCCTCCGGCGGTGACGCCTCTCCTCCAGCTGCCCTGGTAGAGCTTCATCTGCCAGGTGTGCTTGCTGTGTAGGGACGGCTCGTCCCTCGAGGTCTCGGCGTCCAGGTGGACCACCTCGAGGTACGTGAAGGTCTTGACGAAGTCCGAATACGAGATCCTGAAGAGCGAGGGATGGTAAGTCCGCGAGGTACCCACCTTCTGGTCCCATATCTTCGTTATCATTTTTAGATGGCTCACCAGAACTCCCCATCGGCCATGTTCCTTACAGCGAGTCGATCCCTCTCAACAGGAGGAACCTCGTCCCATTCGAGGCTTCCCCTTGCCCAGGCACCGACGTACTCGCCCCCAGGACCGAGGGGGTTCCTCAGCTTCACCAGCTGCACCGCCTCGCCGCCGAAGGTCTCCACCTATAATTAGAATTATAATTAGAATTTTTCACCGCCAAATATAAGAATTCGACTTAAAAAATTTGATACTCCGCCCGGTGTATTTTAGCTCATGCGACGAGTCCAATACTTCGACTTGTTAAACTCGAGTTATTCTTATTGTAACTCTAGTTAGTGGAAACTAATGCGAGTTACGAAGGTGGGAGCGAGATGAGTTAAGCCGACTTACCCTTTCCGACACGAATCGAGTTAGACGCGTGTTGGTGGCCATCCAACAAAACATTGTAACATGCGTTTCAATAGCTCTGTTCACCGTATACGACCTGCGTACAGCGTGAAGAATGCCATTGAAACGCATGTTATGCTTTGTCCGAGGGGTTGTTCACTCAGGAAATCATGGATGTTAATACCCGAAGTTACGTGGAAATCGCAATTAGAAATCACCTCAGAGCATCCTGACAATTTTAAATCGCCGATCGTCGTTACCGAATCGCATTGTTGTTTATCATATGAAATCGAAGACAATCGGTTTTAAAAGAAGGAAATGGTTCCCATTGATCTCCGAGTGAATAGTCCCTCGGTCTTGTGCAATCCGTCACGTGTCGGGCGGTTTGAATCGGCCATAACTCGCCACAGATTCGTCTCGCCAGGTCGAATACATTTAGTACGCGTTCCCTCTTCCTTGACCAATCGAGACTAGAATCGACAAGGTATTCGATTTCGAATAACTCGTGCTGCCAAAGTGTAGGACTCGCCGGATAGCTTGTACTTAATACTTAATCCTCAAGGTAGGAAGCCACTCACTCGTTCTATGGCGTACAGCCTGTAATTGATTCCCATCTGGATGCCGTTCGCCAGCTTCTCGGTGCTGGCCCGGATCTGCAAAGGGACGACATATTAACGTCTTAGAGGAGTTACGAGTCGACCTTGTCGAAGACGAAGACTTCGTCCTCGAGACTTTGGGGGCAGCCAGGAGGCGGTGCCTCCCGTCACGCGAGGTCGAGGCCGTCTCACCTGTTGGCTGTTGTTAACCGTGCAGGTGATAAGCGAGGTCATGTCTAAGAGCTTCGCCAGGGCTCTGCCGCAACCCGTGGGATCCTGCCGGATGGCTATGCTCTCGGTGATGCCTCCCGTCAGGTCGGACAGGCCGTCCAACAGAGTGCCGTACTTCAGGGCCTCGTACGAGCCGTGCAACCTGGAAGCATCGAGGAACGTTAATGACAAAAGGCCCCGTCTGCATGAATCTAGGAATAAATATCGATTGAGAATAAAACAACGAGAATAAAACAACAAAAGAACCCGACTGGATGTATCTAGGAGTAAATGCCGATTGGGGATAAAGCTAGATTCTAGACGATCCTAAGGCGTTACGAAAGGGTCATTCTGTGTATATCAAAACGTCAAAGTGTATTGTGACATGGTGGATTTTGGGCCACCAGTCACATTAATTTCCGAGGGCCGTTTAGCCGTTTTTCGGGATGTAGGGGCACGTTCACCTGTTAAACGATATCGTTCGGTGATGAACGTTCTTCATTGCTTACATATATGGTTTCTAAGGACATAACAATTGCAAATGACTACAACACCAGGACACGTGAGTTAGCAACGAAAGATGGCCGTCCCCCGTTCCTTTCCTTTACGGCTTGAGCTTTTTCCACGCAGAGGTACGCTCCAACCCTTTCTTTTTAGACCCATGCCCGACCGTAACGTTCATCAACGAGGAGGATCACCTCGTGTTCTCCCTGTCCCTGGGAATGCGACTTGGTCGGTCTCACGGTGTGATAATGCTTAACGGTTCATTCGGCGTAGATTAGCCGGCGCATGTCCGTGTGGGTCGTGTAGTTCCCCGGGTCCGGAAACGGCATCCGTGACGAATCACCTCCGTTACGCCAAGGCACTTCCCCTGTCGGATCACGGCCTCTCAAAATCGGAGGAAACCGAGAGAGAAAGAGCTTCCGGGAAATCGGCCACTTTCCCTGGGATCCAACCGCGACCTCAAGAAAGTGCGATTAGGCACGTGATACGATTTGTTAATTCCGCGATTGGATGCGACCGATCGCTGGGAACGTCCGAGGAGGCTTTCCCTCGGTGGAACGTCGCCCCTGGAAAGTGCGGACTCTTCGCGTAGTTCTTCACGTGGGTGTCGATGGAGATCATCATGTAGGTGGTCACGGACCTCGTGTAGCTCTTTATGGAGCTTTTCATGTAATCTTTCACGCAATTCTTCCATGGGTCTCTTAATAAAGCTTTTCATGTAATTCATCGAAGATCTCTTCACGTAATTCTTCATGAAGCTCTTCGTGTACCTCCTCAGCTCTTTTGAGGGAGGAGCTCTCTCGCCACCCCGAAGAGCGCTCGAGACCGCGAAAAATTAATGCCACCACCTCGAATGGAGGTCGAGGGGACTTCCATCCACTTTCCCCGACCTCCCGGTTGGTGGGACTTCGGCTTAGTAATTCGCAGGGAACGTGTAAGGTCGAGGATGGCATCCTCCGAGCCTGGCATTATCCTCGTATCCAGGCGAGGCCGTGCTCGAGGAAACTCTAATTCCCGTGAAATCGACGTCGATGGGTCTTCTCTCTATCCGACCTCCTTATTCCTCCGAGGTCAGGACCTCGATCAGAGAGAGGAAGAGGTACACCGCGGTATTCATGGAATCTGGAAAGGAATGGAGGCTCGGTTCGATTTGCCGCGAGCTCGGGATGATGTATAGCCTCCTGAACTAGACTCGGATCCGCCGTGCCCCATTTCTAAGGGACACCATGACACCGCTCGACCTGGATGGGATCGGTTCCCACGTTTCTGGAAACGGCGGCTACTCACCTGGCGATATATCTTTGCAATACATTTCTGTAAACCGATCCGGACAGGTTTAATCGATCTCGGTCCTGTTCCCATATCCCGGAATTTTATAACATTTTCTTGTTAAGTTTCATTCAGACACGGTACATACTAAACATGCTAATTACGCGACACACCTTCAAATAAAATGATTAGCATACATTATAAATTTAGGGCAAAAGTGATATTTTCAGCTGATTTTCCAGGAGAATTTCTCGAAATTATAACGCGATGTTATAAAATTATACATTTCTTTAGTAACTCATAATCTTGTGTACTAGTTCACTTTTAAGACTGCATATTTATAATTTTATTAATACTCCCACCCACGTGTTTTCGCCAAAGCGCGAAAAGTGCATCCCGCGGACTCCGACAAGTGCAACTGCATCTTCACTGTTGATCGCAACTAGCGTAGCTACCTTTATACGCTACTTCCCCTTCTTTCAGTCTGGTCCATTCCACCTACACCCACCCACGTGTTCCCGTCAAAGTGCAAAAAGTGCGTTTTACTACTACATCTTTGCTCTTGATAGCAACATATGTAGCTACCTTCATACGCTACTTCTTCTTTCAGACAGGTCCATTCCACCTACTCCCACTCTGGTGTCCCAGTAAAAGCGTGAAAAGTGCATCTCACGGACCCTGAAGAACGAGGCCTCGAGTTGGTCATCGGCACTGCGATCCCCACATTATGCAAATACGAGGAAGTCTGTGGTCAGGGAGGAGTAGCTCGTGGAATCCGCGGTGACATCGCCGACTCATAGTCCGCATTACGTCTTCAGGGTCCGGCGGCGCCCTGGAGGGGGCCGGGACACCACGAAGAGGGTGTGCGTGGACCCACACTGGCCAAGAGTGGTCGGCGGTGCACTGACCTCCGGATCCAACGACGTCGGGCAACCGGGAGACTACTTACCGAGTGAAAGTACACGCCCGTCGATATACCCGCGAGTTACGTCGATACGCGGTATCGCGACACGTGGGTCCGTGCACGCGTGTGCGCCCGCCCGGGGCAGCACCGGCAGTTAGACGCGTGGAACAGGATGTGGGAAAAAAAGAAAAAAAAAGAAAACGGAGAAAAATGAGAAAAATCGATGTAAACCAGAAACGAGGAAGGGGGTCGGGCGTTCCGCAACCGCGGGGGACCCGCGTCGTGAAAAACCGACGGAGGGAAGTGAATCGGCGCGAAAGATCAGTCAGGGGGAATAAAAAGGCGGCCGCGGTGAAAGGGAATAAAGTCCTCGCATTTGCGATATGCAGGGTGTTTACAAAATGGACACGGCTTACCCAACGGTATCCTTCTCGAAAGTGAAGTCGGAAAGTCTTGTATTATTTTTTTTCTCCCCCACGATGCATCGTTCACCTGTGATAATTAATTCATAAACTGCCGAAGAGCCGAACGCGCCTCGAAGAGGACGCTATAAATTATCTCACCCCACTCTGTAGAGCAGCAGAGGACTATTTTTTAAGAAATTATTACAGTACAAATCATGTACCATTGCGAAAAATTGTACAGGACTTTCGGACACCGTTTTTAACGATAATAAAAAAAGGTGTGTTGCGTCTACTTGGGAAATATCAGATATGGCTATTTTTTAATAAATGATCTCAGGGCAAACAATGCACCATAGAAGACAATTGTACAGGACCTTCCGACTCCATTGTCAACAGGAATAGAGAAGGTGTCCTGCTCTCACGCCGTAAGTAGCAGAGCAAGGTTGATTCCCGATGCCTTAAATCGATGGTAATAAATGATTACAGGTAAACCGTGCACCGTAGGAAAAATTGTACAGGATTGGCTTAAGTTGTCGAGAAGGATAGCCGTATATAAGCCGTTCGCGATTTCTGCATCACCCTGTATTTATCGAGCGACGAATCGGGCCTCGATTGTCTTCGAGGAGCTCTTCAGGACGAGGAGGAGTCGTGACCGGCCTGAAGGATGCCCCGAGGAAATGGGATTCAATTTCCTCCCTTCGAGGGGCGAAGGGGAGGTCCATGTACGAGCCGACGAAGGAGGCGAACAAAGCGACCGAGGAGAAATCCCGCGATGGCCACCGTCAGATGCCGATCATCCCGCGTGGATGAGACGCACGTCCACCGCGGTGTTTTCTAATGGAAATCGGCGCCGCGACGTGCATACGCTAGCGTCGAGCTTTCTACCCGGTGTAGAAGGTTTACGATGCACCGTCCAAGCGTTATGGGGCTACCGGTGGACGTTAAAAAAGGGGGGAAAGAAAAAAAGGAAACTAAGCCCGGCTGCGAGAGACACCTGATATCGAGTGGAGTTGCTGCGCAGCGACGAGGCAGCAATTAGGGAGACATGGAATTCGCGACGTACGTGACAGGTAGATGCAATCGACGCGGGATTAATAATCAATGGAGATGCCAGGAAAGAAGCTACTGGTAGCCATTAAACAAGAAGGAAAAAAAAAAAAGAAAAAGGAAACTAATCCCGGCACCGCAAGACGTCTGATATCAGAGTTCCCCCGTGCAGCGACGGAGTAGTCATTCGGGAGGCACGCGCCGGAAGTGACGAGGAGGTGCAATCGACGCGGGATTAATGATTAATGAGAATGCCAGGGAAGCGCTATTAATACCCGCAAAAAGACCTGAGAGATACAAGTTAAACCCGACTTCGTGACACCTGATATCAGGCGGATTTCCTGGACAGGGACGAAGCGGGAATCCGGGAGGCACGCGCGAAATACGCGCCGGAAGTGACGAGGAGGCTGATTAAGACTAACGATTAATAATCAATGACGATGCCAGGAGGCGAATCGCATGTCGGGACCGGAAGGAGGGCCGAAGCGACGCAGTCCCCGCAATTACTCGTCAGTCCCTCCCGGTCAGGAACGCGACTTAACCGTCGAGGAATGGACATCCGCGATGGGTTTCGAGATTCCAAGCCGCGGGTGGGACGTCGCCGATCGCCCTTGAATCCGGTTCCGGAGTCCCGAGAAAGTATACCCAGGTAGAGAAAGACGAACTTAGTCATCGGCCGGTCGGAAAAGGAATCTCCGATGGGGCCTCGTCAAGAGAGACGTCAGCTGTTCGCGACCCGCTCCAGCGACTCCACCCCGAGGCCCGAGGAGACGCTCCGCGATGGCAGAGCTCGCATTAAAACCGCCGGACGGCATAATAGAGATCTTAAAACGCGGCCTTAACGCCGGTAATTGCTCCGGTTTACCGGCTCTTTTTATGCGTCCCTATCGGCGGCCGCGGCGTTTTTTATCGCCGCGTCGCCCAGCGGACTAACTCCTCCGCAAGCGAACCCTCCCGGGGTAACCCGATGACACCGTTGCGCGTATCTCTCGACTAATCTCCCAACTAATTAAATGGAAATTAATAAGGTAAAGGGGGTGAATCGCGCGCCCCCGCACACGGAGAATCGGGCCATCGGTGTCACGGAGGTGCATCCATTAATATGTAACAGCGAAAGAAATATGGCGGGCCTCGCGTGCCGAGGCGACCGCGGTGAATGAAGAGGAGCTTATTGCTCGTTAAGATTAGTCACGTCGTTGCCGAGGACGTGTGTAAGGCGTTCACGCACAACGGGGCGAGGCACGGGTGTGCGTACGGTTACGCACCTCCGCACTCGTAAAGGCGTCGACGTGCGTCGCGGCGGTTTTACCGCGCGGTCCCATTCGCGAACCGTAGCCCAAGCGACGCGCGATTTCCAACACGCGACCCCTGCGAATCGCGTCCGGAATTATGCAACCAGGTCTAGAGGTGATATGAAAGCGTCATATACATATCAATACGTGACAACAATTATAAAACTTTGTCCAAGCTGGGTGCATCGAATTATCTGAAACTTTAACGCGTGATCATGGAGGCCCTACGGAACAATGCGATATTCGAGAAATGTAATTTTTCACAGAAAAAAAATGTGATTTTTATTCTAGTCTCGCCGTTTTAATTACGTTACGTTACGTTAAAAACGGCAGGAACTTATTGCCCACGGGCCAAGGGGAAGAGTCTTCCTCTTCCCTGAAGACTCCCAACGAGACCTGGCGGACCTGGAGGTCTCCCCCGCTCTGACATTTCGATTCCGTCGCGGCCATTCCGTCCCTGGGACTTCGCTATAGGTGGATCGACGTATCCCCCCCGGCCAGCAGGTCCCTCTTCAAGGTCGAGCCTCGGCGGTCCTTTGCAGGCTGTCTTCGAGGTCCTCCGCGATCGAGTCCTCCCTTCGGTCGCGCACCATTGGGGGGGAGGGGGGGACTCACCTTGGTTTTTCGAGAGCAACGCCCAGGGTTTACGAGCTCACCTCGGGCGGTTCGACAGCCTCGCGAAAGCAAGAAGAAGATGNGGGGGGGGGGCAAAAGGAAAACGACGATGTGGAGGCGACCGAGGCCGGGCGCGGAAGGGGGGACGGGGGGCGATCGGGGCAAGAAAACGCCCTCTTCCTCCACCGAGGGACTCTCCCTCGAGAGATCCTGGAGAGAGAGGGAGAGACCATCCTCGAGGAGTCGGATTCGGCCGGTCCCTCTGAGGCTCCCCGAGGAGGCGCAGCCAGAAAAAGAGCAGCTCGGACGAGTGGTACCACCGGTCCCCCTCCTCGTGGCAAGGTCATTGCACGCTCGGTGCACTCGATGCACCGACGTAGGCGCCGCCAGGATAATCCGAGGCGAGCCGCGTGCGCCGCGTGCACCGCGGCGCACACCCACGCACTCGAGGATTTAAAGCCCCCTGGGGCCCCCTGTACTCACTTCGCGTATGTCTTCCTCAGGGCCGGCCAGAAGGCACAGAACCGACGGGGGTATTCACTCAGGAAATCGTGACTTTTAACGCTTGAAATCCCGTCCAAATCGGCTGGATATCGCAACCGGAATCACCGGTAATCGATGGAAATCGTCGAGATAATGTCGCAATTTTAAGACCGAAAGTCACGTGTTACCGAATCGCATTGTCGTTTATCGTATGACCTCAAAGGCAATTGGCCCTCGAGGAAGGATAAAAAAAATATTTATAAAACTTTTCTCTAAACTGGGTGCACCGAATTATTTGAAACTTCATCGCGAGATTACGAAAGGCCCTAAGGAAGAACGCGATGCTGGTGAAATTTAATTTTTCGGAAAAAAAAAAAAAACAATGCTAAAGGCGCCCGACGTTTGGTCCAATATTGCCTGCACGGTCAGGCGAATTTCGCCCGTATGTCGAAATGGTTCCGTGTTCAAAAGGTCAAACTAACGAAAATTTCTTTTCTACTACCCGCGCGATTTACATTTCCCTAGGTGCGTTCCACTCACTTTGCGTACGCCTTCTCCAGCAGGGCCGGCCAAAACTGATCGGTGTGAGGACTCTGGATGAAGGCGAGACGCCCGTGGACGGCGGGCAGTCGGTCGTCCACCAGGACCTCTACCCAGGCACCGCACCACCATAACCGGAACCTGAAGACCCCCGCGTACTCGGACGTCCCCGAAGAGCCGGTCGGCTCACCGGTATTTCCGAAACCCTGGTCAGCAGGCACAACCCGGTAGAAGAGGCCCTTGCTCAGGTGCAACACCCCCAGACAAGACACCAGCCACTTGTCACCTGGAAGAAAAGGGGCGACGTAGAATAAATCCATGAATTTTCTCCGCGTATAGTACGATTTAGGTTTATTTTTTTTTTTTAAGTAGAAATGCGCGGGTGTGCGTAGCAACCAAAGATGGCGGCTACGGCCCACGTCACGAGGTCCAGTCCTTTCGTCTGACGTCTCACTTTATAGCCCATCCGTTTCTTCTCGGATCGACGTCGGGACGCGAAGGTAACCTGGAAGAACGCGGCGCTCTTCGGCGACTAAGGCCAAGTCCTTTCAGGCTGTTCTTCGGCATCGACTCTCTTCCTTTCCCACCTTGAAGGCCTTTCCGGCCTTTTTAGCGTTTAGCCGGGAACCGGTCCGGCGAATTCGCGAGCAGCTCGCTCGCTCGCTCGTACCCCGCGACTTATAGCGAGACAATTCCGCGCTCCTAACCGCGAGATCCACTTTCGCTGCGCGCGGAGTCGCGACGAATCTCGTGAGATTTCGACTGGAATATATATTTTTTTCCAGTTTTTCCTTCGTCAGTTTTCTTCAGCAGTTTGGCTTCAAATACAACCCTCCCTCAGTTTACGCGGTAAATAGTGACGTCATTTATTTTAACCCTTCTCTTTTCCTTTTTTTTTTTTCTTTATTTTTTATTATAGCTATTCGAAATAAATATGTATTCCTAAACGTACTACTAGTGTTTATCTCCAATATATTTTCTTTTCTTACCGATAGGACTTTATTTACGCGATTTTCATTCGTGCAAAACCAATCCTCGTGGAACGGATACTCCGCGTAAATTGAGAGACACCTGTACGCGTTTTCCGTATTAAATATCCGAAAAATGTACATTTCGTACATATATGTATATACACTCTACGCGATTCCGCCGCACTGCGTGAATTGTTCAGTTCCGGTGCCGATGCGACGCCGCAGATTCGAGACACGCGTGTGCATCGGGCGTGCAGCTCGCAGGGTCACACAGAGCGCGTCGCGTCCCCGCGTCGAGAATGGCGGACCGATCGGGAAGGCGTTTAACCGCGTTTCTCGTTCCCGCCAGAATGCCAATTGTTGTATCATGCTCGACGCGTGGTCACGCCGCGCTCGGTATGACCACCCGACGCGCTCAGTGTGACTACGGCCTAACGGGTCCGCGACCGGCGTTAAGTCCATCCGGCCGGTGTCGCCTAGAGTTCACGTTGCAACGAGAGCCGAGGTGCACTTTCACCGACGCGTACGCTCGTTACGCGACCGGGAAGGGGTACTTTAAGATCTCTGCTAGATCGTTACGGAGAGATAAATCAGCCCGCTGATCCCGCCGTTTCCCCGTTCAACGAGAGCCCCGCGCTATCAGCCATTTCCGCGCGACGAGCACATGACGATACCGCTTCTTTTCTTTTTAATTTCTTTTTTCCTTCCGTCTCGCCACTAATTCCGCTCCTTTTAATTTCTTTTCATGTTTAACACCGATTAACGGCGGTCCTGCGTGACTCCGTGTTCCGGCATTCCCTTTGGGAATTACCCTACCGAGGAAAACGCCTCGGCGGAACAAAAGAGCCGCCCAGTCGGGAGACGCGAAGCGCGGTTCCGTCGCGGCGCTTATTTCGGCCCCGCGAGACGGTCGCTCGAAATTCCGCGCCAACCGGGCACGTCTGGGAAACGAAACCGTGACGTTTTCTTTTTTCTTCTTTTTCTTTTTTTTTTATCCTCTTAACAGCGAACCGGAGATTCCTCGGAAACCGCGGACCAGGCGACGAGGACTCGTGCGTAACGGTTCCGTTAGCGCGGCGCGTTCCGCTCGCTCACGGCCGCACGCGATGATGACACGGAATAATTCGCGGCGACCCACATTGCGAGGGCAAATTTTTCCACCGAGGAGAGAGAGAGAGAGAGAGAGGGAGAAAGGGACTTAGGGCTTGTTAAGGCAGCTCGACGCTCCGCATTTTTCCATGCACGCCGAGAGGAAATTCGGCGGATTGAACAAATTCATTCGTTCAGCTGTATTTTTGGTCAATGTAAAAAGAAAAAAAAAAAAAAAAGAAAAGAGAAAATCCTCTTTGTTGAGCGAACCGAATTTCGTTCACTAGGCCAAGCTCGTTTGCTTCGATTAATCTTAAGTCATTTTAGGAAGGATATTTCCGTCAGTAATTACAGGTGAATTTTCGATGGATTTTCGATGAAGAAATTGTAAATAATATATAAAAACATCTTTTTCTATTTCGTCGCAAGATGTTAATACATCCTCAATCTAATTCATGTTTTCCTCGCGTTTGCGCAGTTTTTAGGTTGAAGTCCGATTAACTAAAGCTAATTTGGCTGGTTGATCTAAACGGCGGTTTATGGAAATTAACCCACGGTTAAATTGTGGCGGAATGTGCAACTCATTTTAACCGAGGATTAGCTTTTTGACCGAGGTCGGTGGAACCGGGCATGAGAATCGTAAAGAGCGGCGGCGCTCTTCAGGGTATCTCGCTGCCGCAGGCGAAACCGGAAGCGGTTCCCTGGCCCGAGCTTTTCCGCGGACTCTCTCACGCGGCGGAAAGGTCGCGGGATTTTTATTCCGCATCGCCGTGACGATTTCGAGGTCGGCCGACCGTGAAGGGAACGCGCAGTGGCTACTCCCGTTCTACTCGGGTTCTTGGACGAGAGAAAGGCAAGGGAGCCGGTCTTCGTGTCCCCGGAGAAGTCGACGAAACTGACCTATCCCGCGAGAGGTGGACGGAAAAAGGGCAATCGCCCTTTTAACATGATATGAAAGTGTCATATATACTTAACCAAAAAGTAAAAATATTTATAAAATTTTTCTCCAAATTGGATGTACCGAATCATTTGAGACTTCATCTCGAGGCTATGGAGGTCCTAAGGAAGAACGCGATGTTCGTGAAATTTCATTTTTGAAAAAAAAAAATAATAGAGTGTATTTGTCTCGGACAGAAACGAAAAAACATTTTTTTTTGTTCAAAAAAAGAAATTTCACGTACATCGCGTTCTTCCTTAAGGCCTCCGTAATCTCGTGATGAAGTTTCAAATGATGCGGTACACTCAGTTTGGAGAAAAGTTTTACAAATATTATTACGCTTTGATACATAGAATGACCCTTTCATATCACCTTAATTCTCATTAAGGTAGGACGCATGTCAAACCTAGGCTTAAAGAGTGAAACAGTACCGAAAGTGGGCATATTTATGCAAGTTCGAAGTAGGGTTAAAATATCGCCTCGAATCGCCGATTGGCTCGACCAAGAAATTGAATTTAAACAGCACTACATACCCCAGCGTTTGCAAGTTCCGACGATACTAAAACCCAATGATGAATGTAAACGTGCGATGCAAAAACCGTGGCGCATAATTTATCACAAAAAAGGAAAAACCGAAGAAAAGAAACAGCGTTTCACTTTCCTTAAACGGACCTCTTTCGTAACATGCGAACCCACGCCTACAACCTACCCATAAGAGGCTCGCATCGAAAATCGAGGAAGGTAGGAAGGTGTAGGAGGACAGGTAAATGTGCCCCTCTTCGAGGTCGGGACCAAGGAAGGGTATCTTCGGCTTCCCGGCCCGAGACGCGAATCGCACCGGCTTGTAATTCCGAGGAATGTCGAGCCCGCGGCCAGAGGAACGCATCTGGTAATTAGTGCGATCCGCGAATCGGGCGCTTCCGGTTCCGGGTCGACCTCTAGGAGGCGAGGTCCCGTCTCCGGGGTTGCTGGCGGGCGGAGGGATCGAGGAAGAGAGGACGCGCCGGGAGTACGCAAAGCGTATCATTACGCGCTATCGCAGGAATTCCGCGCGAGCGTGCATAAGCCCGGAGTGGCCGAGGCTCTTGCTCTCCGGGGATAAAAAAAGGACAAAACCGGAACGACCCGTTCTGTTATAACCCCGCCTCTCTCGCTCTCTCTCGCTCCGGCTCTCTCGGGCCCCGTCGAGGCGCCTTTGACCAGCCTCGGACCGGACCCGAGAGGCTGGGATCGCGTCTTCCCAATGTATCTCCGCGAGACGGGCCGAACGGGACTCGCCTCTTCAGGGTCTTCGGCAGGATCAGGGAAACGTTCTAGGTAATGTGGTCCAGGAGTCCCTTCTTTCGGAATCTTCGGCGGGATTAGGGAAATGTCGAAGCTAAGTCGGTTGGAAGAAGTGGCATAGAGACTCGACTCTTCAGGGTCTTCATCAGGATTAAAAAAAAAACCACAATTCAGCTAATAAAAAATACAAATAAAAAATCCGCCCAGACCACGCCTGTCCCGAATTATTTCTCATTCCGAATCTCATTCCATCCGGCTTGAAAAAAGCGGTCCAGGGCTCGCATCCGGGACCACCGAGACCTTTCCTGGAGGGAAAGCGACCCGAACCGCATCTCCACGAGTCGTTACCCGCCTCGAATATAAAATCGATTGGTCGCGACCACGGAAGGCGTAAAATTCGCGTCAATTCCTTGATCAAAAGTCATCCATCACCGGGCAGCGAAGAGCGCTCCTCGCTTCGCGCATCGATTAAGGAGACGCTTAAACTCGTTTAGCCATTTTAGTACTTTCTGTTCGTGCTTACCCATTTTCCCGGGGACGACGTCGAACTGTGCAGGGGAGTCGCTGACGAAGATCGGCCGATTGCACAGCTCCTGGAATTAAGGGAGAGAGAGAGAGAGAGAGGTGATTAAAGGAGGGCCAATTAGATGCCGTCGTATCGGGATTATACGTCGAAATCGACTTCCGAGATCGTCGATCTCGTTTTCGGAAGAGAGCCCGACCATGGCTCGGTGCAGTTGCATCTGCACGGATTGCGTGACTCCCAGGTCAGTGACCAGGTCGCGCCTGGTCCCGCGTCATGGACCGGAGACGGGCCCGACGACGGCCCTCGTCGGGAGGCACTTCCGGGCGCGGATCGACGATCTCAGTACCTGGTGCGGCTTGACGTGTCTCAACGTCATCTAAAGTTATCCGATCTCTCCAACGTCACTCAGTCAATCCCGGAATATTTGAATAAGTTCGGACGCGGCCTGACCTATCCCAACGTCCCTCGGCGCGGCCTGATCCACCTCAACTTCATCCGGCGTGATCCGACCTACCCCAACGTGTTCCAGCGTGATCTTACCGATCTCCATAGACCTCATCGCGGCGTGGCCTGTCTCAATTAGTTCAGCATCTTTGGCCACTTCCACAGATTTTCTCGCAGCCAGACCTACCTCAACATCACTGATCAACAACATGACCTAACCTATCTCAACGAGTTCCAACGGCAGATTTACCGACTCCATCAGATTCCACCGCGGTCCGACCCACCTCAATGTCCCGCAGCATACCCTGACCCACCTCAACATCATTCGACATGACCCAGTGCAGGACATCCCGATTCTCGCGGGTCCGCCCGTCGCGGCCTTGCAGTGTGCATTATGCCGGCATTATGCCAGCATTATGCAGGCAACACCATGGCATGTAACGTCGTCGGCCTGTAGGTGGTTGGATCCAGTTACACCGCTACTTATCCCACGATAACACGCATCGAGGCCATTGTTCCCCAGCTCTCTCGCCTCCGGATCACGCAACGTCCGCGGCCTTATCCCAGGGATCGATCGATCGCCTCGATCCACGGGATCCTGCGTCTCTTCAGGGTCAAGGGGTCTAGACAAGGGCTGGGTGCTCACCTTCGGCCTCTTCCATTGGAACTGGAACGGCGGGGTCTGGTGGTAGAAGACCGAGGCCTGGGTCGCTGGGAACTCCGGGTCCTCCCAGAGCTCTCCTCGTTTCAAGCACGAACGCTTGATTCGTTCGTACTCGCTCATCGCGTCCTGGAAAAAAGGAAACAAAAAATAGGAAGGAGATTAAGGGGATGCCGAAGTCGGTTGAAACGATCGAATCGATTCCAGCGCCGTTCGGGTAATCGAATAAAAATAAAAAAATTGGACGGGGGGACGAACAAGTGAGATTATGCAAGTGAGGAGAAAATCGTTGCCTCAGGATTCCACGGGTCGGCCGATTTCATGGAAACTCTACGAAGACGTCGCCCACGGTTCACGCACACGCGCGTGTTCCCACGCGCAGAATATCGACGATCGCGATTAACGGCAAGGATGCCATCCGCGGTTACGAGGCGGCTCCTCGAGGTCGACGACACCTTGCGTCGGGATTTTTTCTCCTCTCAGGATGTAGTCCCACTGAGCGCGTCGGGCGTCGCACGAAGCGCGGCGCGTCGTCGCGTCGCGCAATTAACGCACCGAGTTAAGGGGAGCAAACCCTCTAGACACCCGAAAAAGGGTAATTTTTTACGAATTCTTTTAATGCTGATAAAATAATCGCATCATTTAAAAATTTTGACATTACTTTATTACAACTTTCAAGTGTTTAAAAACATTTTTGTTTAGACTTAAGCGCAGTTCTGATTGGTTTTTCACTCTCCACGCCTCGACGCGCCGCGTTCTATGTGTCGTCCGACGCACTTAATGGGACTGCGTCGTCAGGGGGAAGAAAATCGACGCCGTGTCTTTCGAAATCGGGTTTCTGCGTAAGCGTAACGGGGTCGGTACACACCGGGCCGCAACAATGGCGGAGAGATCAAGCGCGACGGGAGAAGGGCACCGATCGGCACCCTAATCACCTCCTCGGTACTTGGACACTCATTACCCCGGCTAATGCCTCGAGATCTCATTGGCATTCCAGGACAGAGCCCTGCCCTCCATTGTGCAGGGTCCTGCACCGAGACGGATGCACCTGCGGACCATGCAGCCTCCTGGACGGCGACTCTCTCCAAGAATTAAAATCTCGGTGTAAAAGAACTTTCCCACTAACCCCTTAAGGTTACACGAAAGTGGCATCCTAGGAGTTAACAATTCGACATTTATCTCTAAACCGAGTGTGCCAAATCGTTTGAAACTCTACCCTACGAATAGGGAGGCCGGAAGGAAAATCCCATCACCCATGAAATTTCATTTCTTAAAATATATTTATAAACATTTTCTAAATTTGTTCATTAAAAGAAAAGAAAGGAAAGAAAATGAGTTCGCGGTTTTCATGATTTTTTTTTCAGGGCCACTACACTCGCGAGAAAAACATTTCAAACGACACGGTGCAATTAAATAAAATTATTATAGATAAACAGCTGACCACTTCGATGCCACTTTCATATCACCTTAAACGGAAACCGGGTAATTTCCCGTAACGTCATTAAAATCATAAATCCGCACTTGGCACACGCAACCTGACACTCTGCCACATTTTCCCGCGGATAGTTGCGATTAATTACATCCGGCACCAATAGGAAAAAGTGTATCCACTTTTTCTGAAGCGAGACGTTCTTATTTTTCGTGTACCTGTATATGACGAGGTTGGATGAAAACGACCCAATTTCCGCTAAACGATTAAAAATTCCTACCTAGGGATCATGCTCGCCTCATCTTTTGCTCCACGGTCTGAGGCCTGTCGGGCAATAAGCAGAGACCAACCCCGAAGAGCCCGTCGAGGGTATACCGATTGCATTTTCTTTTTTTCTTAAATTTAACATAATATTACATTATAATGTTCTGTCATTTAAACCAGATGCTGAATGTGATATTACAGAGACAATGCGATTTTACTGCAATTTATCATGGCATCGAAATAACCGATGACCGCTTGAAATCGGGGATTGTTTGATACGAGAGAAACCGCAAGCAGAATGAGAGAAATCACTGGACATCTCTAGAAATCGCCAGAGCATTCCTAGAGAAGTTTTAATGCTGAACGTAACTTTCTACTGAATTACATTGTTTAACATATGAAATCGATGGCAATCGGGCCTCGAAGAAGGACATCGTTTTGTCTAATTTCCGAGTGGCGGCAGCCAATCTTCGAGATAAAACCCCGAAGAGGGTGAAAGGTGGTAAAACGTATTTTTACAAGTTCCGCAATATCTCTCAAACGCACATAGATAACGATTTTGTTTTTGCCAATAAAAAGTACCCATACAGATGCCTAAAGCCCAATTTCAGGATATCGCCCGAACCATATGATAATCGTGTCGCAGAACATTAGGAACGAAAGATAGCAAGTTCCCATCCCCTTTCGATCTCCACCGCGTAAGGATACTCTTCGGCCATCTCATCCTAGATGAATCCTTGGTCCAGCCTCGGCGGAAAGGATTCGCTCGGCTCAGCTCCTTGACTCGTCCCGTACCGGTCGGACTAGTTTCACGCTTGGTTTTCTGCGGCCTTGACAACAAACAACGCCGTCCAGAAGACCGCTAGTCGGCCGCTCTCCGAGTTTGAGATCCCCTTCGTCTAAAGGGTCCTCTATCAAGGACCTCCAGCCGCCTGATGTCCCCCTGCAGAATCGAATCCCGTCCTCGAACGATTCGTCAGGAAGCTCCTCGGGGTGCCATTCGTCGGGAAGTTCCTCGAGGTGCCAATCGTCAGGAAGCTTCTCGAGGTGCCATTCGTCAGGAAGCTCCTCGAGGTGCCAATCGTCAGAAATCTTCTCGAGGTGTCAATCGTCAGGAAGCTCCTCGAGGTGCTATTCGTCAGGAAGCTCCTCGAGGTGCCGCTCGAAGTCGGCGCGATCTCGCCTCGAATAGGAGATCCCGTTCCGGAAAGGACGGCGCCTCCTGGCTCGGCCTTTCCGCCGGGTGTCCGTGCCTGATTCGCAGGTTGCGTGCCAATCTCGCCGGTATTGGCCTTGAAGAGCCGAGAAAGCGATTCGCCCCTCGGAGGGACACAGCGTCGGAACGAGGAAACGGATCTGCCGAGCGGATCGCGACCGATCCCACCGTCCGTCGCGGATCCGCGCCGAGACTATCGCTCGGCTAGGCTCGGCTCCGATACGCTCGAGATACGGCCCCGGCCGATCAAACGCCCCGAAGAAAGAACAAGAAAGAATTATATACCGCCGCCAGGCCGATTACGAGTCGCTGCCGCGCGTGCCCAAGACTTTCTCCTTCTCGCCACGCACCTTGATTTGGAGCGCCGACCTCACCCGGCGAAATGGCGCACCTAAGCCTCCTTCGAGCGAGTGTCCAATTTGCGCATCCTCGCCGTCAAATTAATTCGCCCAGGCTTCTGAATGCATTTGGCGCGAAACTCTGCCGAGTTTCCTGATCGCCAACCCCGAGGAGGATCAAGGATTGCGGGAGTCCTGGAGGTACCTCAGGGCGAGATTATGAAAATCAGGGTGCTGAAGAGCCTCACTATTTTTTTTTGGTGCTGAAGAGCCTCACTATTTTTTTTTTGGTGCTGAAGAGCCTCACTATTTTTTTTTTAGTGCCGAAGAGCCCCACTATTATTTTTTTTGGTGCTGCAGAGCCTCACTATTATTTTTTTTTGTGTTGAAGAGCCTCACTATTATTTATTTTTGGTGCTGAAGAGCCTCACTATTATTTATTTTTGGTGCTGAAGAGCCTCACTAGTTTTTTCAACCCCTTCAAGTACGGGACTTGCTGGATTAACATGAAAGCGTTTCAGAGCCGAGCCCGTCACCGATGCATCCTAAGTGCATGTGCAATGCAAGGCGCTCTCCAGTAAATTGCATACATTTTCAGCAGACCCTGTCCGGACTGATCCCGTAAATCGTCCCTCCCCGTTCCCGATCGAGAGAGGGGAAATCGACTTTCTATGAAAGTCACCTGATTATCGTATGGAAACGCCGATACGTGGTGCTTCCTGGTGCAACGATCTTCAAGGCGGAACCCCGAAGAGCCGGGTCTACCCGATCTTTCTCTAAAATCGGTAAAATCCCCGCCGACCCAGAAAAGACGCGATGAATTATTCTATGGAAATGCCGACACGTGGTGGAAGTCGCTTCCTGGTGCAACGCTCTTCAAGGTGGAACCCCGAAGAGCCGGATCTATCCGATCCTTTCCTAAAATCGGTAAAATCCCCGCCGACCCAGAAAAGACGCCGACACGTGGTGGAAGTCGCTTCCTGGTGCAACGCTCTTCAAGGCGGAACCCCGAAGAGCCGGGTCTACCCGATCTTTCTCTAAAATCGGTAAAATCCCCGCCGACCCAGAAAAGACGCTATGAATTACACACGAGGTCTCGACGTCCCACTTAATCCCGCTTTAATTTCCTCCGTGCAATCGAGCAATTACGAGGTTTACGGGGCAGCGGGTCCGTTTCTTCAGCTCCCTCTTCGTCGTCGACGGTCCCGGTGGAAGCGAAACGGGCGCACTAACGAGAGAAGCGTACGTGTTGCAACGCTTCACGTAACGGCGTGTACACACCGTGGGCGAATTAATGAAAGTAAAAATGCCCCCCCAGGGCCGCGTAAGCATTGTCTTCGATTACGGAGTACTCTTTGCCGCCCACCATGGGATTGCGATAACCGAAGACATCGTAATGTCCGTTTTATCCCGCCGTCGAGGACCCGATGCCATGTTTATCTTGCGCACAGGTATGGCCTAATTGATTTCTGGCCGTAATGCAGGATTCGTTAAGGGAGAGACGAAGAAAAGGAAAGTTACGCACCGGTTCGTATGGAGGTATGGAGAGAAATAGTGAAAAATGTGAAAGAGGAATTTCTTGAAGATGGATATTCGTTAAGATGAATATACGAAAAGAGGAATATTCGTAACGATGAATATTCGTAACGATGAATATTCTTAACGATGAATATTCTTAACGATGAAAATTCTTAACGATGAATATTCGTGACAATAAATATTCGTGACAATAAATATTCGTAACGATGAATATTCGTAAAGATGAACGTTCATAAACATGAATATTAGAAAATATGAATGTTCGTAAAGATAAACATTCACGAAGGAACGAATCCTTGGAGCTAAAGATTCGTTAAACCGAAAATTAATTAAGATAAAAATTCGTGCAGCTGAACATTCATAAATACTGCCCTCACTTCGGTCCCCATTAGCATTACCCAACCCAAATAATCTCGAGTCGAGTTGGACTAAATTATAAACAAACGGACATTCCGGGCTCGGCATCCTTTGTCACTTGAGAAACACTCACCCGGGGCCCAAGGTCGAAGAAACGGGCCTCGGGACCTGTCGGACGTTCTCGTAGCGGTTTCACATTTTTCTCTAGAATTTTTAGTGAAATAAAGACGTTGCTCCATTCTCTAGGTTCCCTTTGCCGAATATTCCGGTTCCTTTTCGCGCGGCTTTTAGACGGCCCCGGAGGCTTCAGGAAGTTTATCCCTTTATATAAATCTAGAAGCTTCAAATTTTTCTTCAGAATTTTTAGTGAAATAAATTCATTGCTTATTTTTTTATGTTCCCTTAGCCGAATATTCCGAGTTATTTTCGCGTGACCTTTCGACGGGCCCTTAGATCCAAGAAGTTTTTCACATCATTTCATTATTGGAGGTTTCACATTTTTCTATAGAATTTTTCGTGAAATAAATTCGTTGCTAAATTTTCTAGATTCTCTTTGTTGAATATTCCGGGTCCTTTTCGCGCGGCCCTTCGACGGGCCCCGAGGTTCAGGAAGTCCTGGGAGGGGAGGGGGTAGGGGGCTGCCCAAAGGGGAGGACTCGGGAATCTCCGCGACTCTTCGGCTACCCGCTCGGCTATTCGCGAGCGAGCGCACGCGGTTTCTCCTCCACCGAAAGTAGAACTGCACCCGGCCCGAGCTCTCTCAAGCATCGTCGAAAAACGTAACGGCCATATGCGAGCCTAACCAAAGCTACTACCCAACTAAAAAAAAAAAAAATGAAGAGTCGCGCATCCCTTTTCATCCGTCCAGCCCGATGCATTTAAAACTGAAACGTCAGGAAAAGAGGACCCCTTCTACCTGTGCACCTGAGCTAGGGACCTTTGTTCTCGCCCAGGGAAAAAAATATATCTGGCGCAGAATTCAGCCAGGAGATGGAGGGTTGGATTCATAGTTTCCCTTGATAAAGAAAAGTTACATAAACCCACGTAACGTAAAGATGTTCAGAGAAGATAAAACGAAGTAGCCGCTTCCGCCCCTAGACCCTCTCCGGAAGTTCTTATCTAACAGTAACATCGTACATTGTCGCGAGAGAAATGCCTGAACCCAACCTCCCATTGAGAGAAAGAAGAATCTCCTGTAAGATTTTTACCATTTAACTTATCTCGTAAATTTAATGCCAAGGGACTTTTAACCGTAGTTGAATAGAATGTAGTTGAATAGAATTCTCGAAGCGGAAAGTACGTCTCCGCCTTACCCCTGGGTATTTGAATTCCTTCATTCTAAAAACAATTCATTTCTGAATGCTGTGGTTGGATTCAGGTGAAATGTATGGATCTGTAAGAAGGGGGGAGGATGAAAGGCGAAAATGTAAGAGAAAAAGACTTACGTTCACCATCCGTGTCCTCGTCCGTGTCCAGCGTTCCGGGGTTATCCGCGCACGACGAACGGGCTCCTCGAGGGCCTCACCTGGAGACCCTCCAGCTTGTTCCGCGCCTCCGCAACACTTTGCACTGGGCACGACACGTGTTCGAAAAATAATCCCACACGAACCGTACCATCCGCGCGCGGAAGTCGTACTGAGCGCGAGCGGGGGTTGATCGCACGCGAGACCCTCTTTCTTCCCCCACCACCGCTCCGCGCTGGCCCTGCCCCCACTCCTCCCCGTCACCGCGGGAATGCGAATGGCCACTGCCACGAGCGCCGCCGTGGAGGAAGGGACAAGTAAGAGGATTGAAACTTTTGCCCGGATTTTAATTAGCAATCAAATCGTTGATGAGATGGGATTTCTCGAAATTCAACCCCTAAGAGGGTGAAAAGGGGTAGAATGTTTTTTTTTACAAATTTCTCCTAGCACATATCCCGAGCGATGCCGCGATGGGCATGCTGAGATATGTTAATCTCGGATTGCTCTCGGTAGTAAAGTTTTTGTTTGTGGTGAAATGTGGGGGCGTCGGTTTGTTGTAGCCTACATGGTTCACAACGGTGAAAGCTGACATGCGATGCCGATGACGCCGCGGGGATCCTTGGAATGCTCGGGACGTTCCGTTCCGGAACTTTTTTTAGTCCACACTGGCGATTCTCTTCTCGCGAACGGTCGGCGAGAGTGACTTTGAATTTCATTCGAATCCGTGACGTAAGATTAATTTACCGATGGGAGTCGTTATTCTCCTGGTGTTCCTTTTTTATCCTAATACAGCGCTGTGGAATTAATAACTCTAGAACTGATATATATATATTTGATTTCTAATACCCGTTGAGGATGTACAAAAATATTTATACGAAAACAATGTGCGAGAATAGAAGTACTCATTTTTAAGTGGAGAAGTACGAGTGGAAGTGGGACTTTAGGAGTACTATGCATTGTCAGAGATGAGTTGAGAGATTGCTCACGGGCAGGATCGTGTGATCGCATCCTGTGCTGCCCTCTGGTTTCGTACGTTAGTTTTCACCGTTTTTTGCCCCCAAGGGCGGCGCAACGAATTTCTGATAGGAGCTCGCGTACTCCCGATGGCGGTACCATCTACCAGTCGCCGTTGGCGGTTCACGTACTCGTGATGGTAATACCATGCGGCAGTTGACGGTGGTGGCTTACCTACGCTTACCGATACGGCTCGCTTTTGATGGTAAGGGAAGAACACTCGTGACGCTCCATTTGACTTTATCTACTTATCTACTATTATTAAGTACATTGTTGCCTCGAAGTCGACGTGATGCGGAGCTTTGGGGCACGCGCGGTGTCGCGTACGGAACCCTCATGCAGCGAATCTGTGTGAGTGCAATCTCTCCTAGAAATCTTAGCGCGTCCCAACCATGGACGTAAGAATATATTCTTACGTCCATGAATGAAACCGAATGGTACCGCCATCTTTCAGAGATCGGGAGAAGTTTGAGGACAAGGTTGGGTAGAGATATGCTAGAAGGCACGAGTGCGATGCCACGGTAGGGTAAACTCCTCAGCGGTCGATAACATCGCTGTCTCTATCGTCCGCGTGTTACCTACAATCAATCTAAGATGGCGGCTTGGCTAGCAGTTTGAGGCGTCACGACAGAGATGGCGCGGCGCGGCGTGTCAATTCTCGGCACAACTTCCTCGCGCACCTCTTTGCGGTATTTACTATACGAAGAAATCGTGCCAGAGATCGACAAAGGTTTCACAATTTCCTCCGAAAATAGGGAACAGCGGGTGTTCGAATCTCGAATGGACTTATATCTGGGAAGGTAAAAAGAGGGCGAGGTGGAATCAGGGTCGGCTGCCGATTAGTTCAGGAGGAATCGGTCGTTTGAATTTCCAGGGAAGGAGCACGGTCTTGGCCTTGGCACGGCCTTGGGCCATCTATTTCGTGGGCCGAGTCAACTTATCGCGGCTTGCGCTTTATCCTATCGGATTTCTGGCCGCTCCTCTCGTCCCCCTTGAGTAACATAATATTTCTCGTCGGCGGGGCCGCGCACTTTTTGATTATTTGCGCGGATCGTAACACGAACCGTCACTTTCCGGACATGATCCTCTCGCGGCGTTCTCCTGCTGGTCCTTTTCTTGCGGAACGAAATCCGCGTCGCGCCCGCAACATCGGACACGCGAGACCGGCGGGCTCGCTCGCGTGGAAACCCTTTCGAAACTCTGCCCAAAATTCCCCTGCGAATAGGTAGAAAATGATCCTTTTATCTCTTTATCCGGAATTTTGGCTCAATTCTGCATTTTTTTCAGGAACGAAGCTGCACTTCCGGGTCCTTCTCTTGCGAAAAGAAATCCGCGACAATCGGATATGCAACACTGATGGCCTCGCTCGCGTGGAAACCCTTTCGAAACTTTGCCCAAAATTCCATTGTAAGTGGGTAAAAATTGATCCTTTTTTCTCTTCATCCGAAATTTTGCCTCCACTCTACATTTTTTTCAGAGACGATGCTGCACTTCCGGGTACTCAGCAACGGCGCGAGAGAGAGGGAGGTTTATTCCCCTCTTCTTCTTAGGGCCCAGCACGCGATTCGGGCCCTCTGCACTTTTACGGCGGCGTATATCAATGGGACACGCGGGACTCGAAGGCAGGGCCTGGACGATGCGCCCCACGACAATGCCGGGTTGTAAAAACTTGCGCAAAGCTTGGCCGCTCTCTTTCTCTTTCTCCCAGCGGCGCTCTTTCGCTCAATGGAAGGCAATAACCCGTTTATTTATCGATTGCTTAACGGCGAACACCGGAACGCGTTCTGGTCGCTCCTTTTTCACGTAAAAGCGCGCCTAGAACGAACCTCCGAGGGGGAGGTAGATACATGAAATAATTTGAAATGCAGGTCGTTTGGGAAATTTTATCAGTTTCTGCCGGTCCTTTTTGATGTTTTACTGACTTCGGATAGACAGGTAGATAACATAAATACATAGATTTATTATTAATGAGCCCAAGAGCGTGGCTTCGCATGAGCAAAAAGAGAGCGTTCCAACCAAAGTTGATACCCCGAGAAAAAAGATTAGTTAACTGGAATAAATTTATATCGTTTACATGTAGATTATTGCCTGAATCGTATATAATCGCAAGAAACAATGATTTCGTTGAAAGGAAAAATGATATCCGTTGATTTCACCGGATTTTGTTTGCTCTTCCAGCCATTTATTCGGTCGTCTTGGTTCGCAGGATTTTGTGTAGCAATGCGTATTTCTTTTATTCAAACAACTATTTTTTATCTCAGTGTACCAACTCCAGTGATAGGAACGATCGAGGGGTTATTTGCTCAGGGAATCATAGATTTCAGGGTATGAAATCGCGTGGAAATTATCCGCGTGGAACCCTCAAGCGGGAGTCAATGTGAATCGTTGGAGAACACCGAAATATTGTTATAATTTAAAGCTCGATCGTCACCTAACACCGAATCACGTTGCTATTTACCATATGAAATGAAAGACAACGGGTTGTCGAAGAAGGAGATCGTTTTCCCTGATTTCCTAGTGAACAGCCCCTCGGGATAAAATGACAGCGTTCCACTCGCAACGTCACTTCGCATATAAAAACGACGGTACATTTCGAGCGAGCTAATAATTTGAAATAATTTCATAGCGGATGAAAACCTCTCGCTCACTTTCAGGTTGGTTTCACGGTTCTCTCTTTTTAGGGAGGCTCGCATGCGGCGCTCGGAGCGGTCCCGAGGGAGAAAAAAGTGTCCCGGCAGCGCAGGACCGCTCGGATGTCATTTCGAAATAGTTTCGCCGCGGGAGAAGGAGGAGAAGAAGAAGAAGAAGGACCCCGCAGAAAGTAACAGTTACGCGGCGTTTGCTGGGAGGCATCCGAGGGCCGCCCTTGGAAGCGCCGAGGGCCCAGAATTCCAGGCCGGGCCATTACGGGCCTCCCGAAACGAGTCCCTTTGGGTACCACCGGCCATTAGAATTACAAATACCTACCCGCGGCGCACGGCACGCGCCCTGGGCGCAAAACACCGCGATAATGTCAGAGATTTCGCGAGAAATTCCTCGGTCCGGGCCCCGAGGGCCGGGCGACGAATCGGGGGGATGCGGGGACCCCCCCGAACCCCCTAAATATCAGGGTGACCCCCGGGGTCCGCGGCTGCCATCTGGCGTGTCGTTTCGGGCCTAATTTCGCGATTGGGTCCTCGTCGAGGTCCTCTTTGAGGCAACCTAGACGAGCCCCGGGTCGTCCGAGGAATTCCTCGCGACGCGTCGCCACCGAAAGGACCCCACGGGTCCGCTCGGTCCCCGGGGCCTTGAGAGAAAGAGGGAAAGAGAGAGAGAGAGTGAGAGAGAGGCGAAGCGTGCCACTGGCTCGTAACGGTCTTGGCGTTAACTCGTAACCACGGGTAATTACCTCGGCGTTCTTCTTTCGCTTCACGGCCGGCACACGCGTGCCGCGATACGCTTCGCCGTGCTTCACTGGGCCCGACTCGTTACCGGGTGAATCTCAAGCGGGAGAGGCCAACTCCTCGACGGAGGAGCGAGATGCACCGGGAGGAGCGGCGAGCTAAATCGGTTTTGGTCTTATGGTCTTGGTCTTAGGGCCGGCTGCACCGACGTTCGAGTTAAACTCCTTAATCGAGGATTACTTGACGCGAGATTAGAGTTAACCGGCCAATTTTAGGTGGTTATTAAACAATCGACTTTAAGATTAAGATTACAGGACCAAGACTACAAGACCAAAACTACAAGACCAAGACTACAAGACCAAGATCCATTTTGCTCGTCACTGGTCGAAATCGCGGGTCATGCACCTCGCACGGAAGCGACAGGGTGGAGGTTCGGTCGCGGGGCCGTGGGAACCACGGGGACCAGGAAGACCGGGTCGATTTCCGGCCGCGAAAATCCCGAACCTCTCCGTGGGAGACGCGCCTCGGCAACGAGCGGCGCGGAAACCGGGAGAAATAAAGCAGAGGGAGAGAACGACCGGCCGTAAGACTTAATTAGCGGACACGGGGCCTCCCGCGGGTCCTCGTTATAACGACAAAATTGTCCTGGGTCCCGTCCGCGGGCTCCCTCGACCGTGCACGATCCGCTCGGACGCGACGATTTAATTATCGTGCGTCGGCCGCGGAGGCTGCGAGGTCGCTCGGCCGATAACGAAT